TTCACCTGGACCTTTCTGCACTCAAGGGGGTGTGGGGATGATGGAAATTATAATAGTGGAAATGGAATAATGGAAATCCCAGACTTCCAGATATGAGGACGGGATGGTCCACTCCAAATCTGTTCTCAAAAACACAGCCCACATCCCTACACCTGTGCACCCTCAGACATCATCCTAAACACAGGACTCCTGGGCCCCGAGTGGCTGGGATGGAAAGGTCAGGCGTGAGTAGTGATGCTCCCCACAAGGGTCCTAAGGTTAAGACCCACGGGTCACCCTGTCCTGTCCTTTCTGCCGCCATCTCTCCCTTTCCCATCCCCCATCTCCAGCACCTCAACCCCTGTTCTAGCCCAGGCCTCACCCTCTGCACCGGCTCTTGCCCCTGCCTCATCCCGCAAAGGCCACTGGGGGCGCTTTCAATGTCCACCACGCACCTCTCCCTTCCCTGTTGAAAACCCATTGCTACCCACAGAGAAAGACCAAGTGCAGCCTTATTCTCCAAGCTCTTCCCAAGCTGGCCTCCGAACCTCGTCGACAGTAAGACCCTTAGTCTTCCTAAAACAGAGCTGGAGGGCCCTGGGGAGTCATCGACCCATTTCACAGGTGCGGAACGGAACGGATGGGGGAAATAAAGGCTGCAGAAGGGGACAGGAGCCACCCAGTGTCACCCAAGTCCCTAGCACGGCTGGGACTAGTTACTGTCCTGCGTTCCCAGTGTCAGCACTGGTGCCCCAGGTCACACCAATGAGGACTCCAAGGCTCAGAGGCTGGGCGGGGTGCGTGGAGGCGCGCACTGCGGTTCCCGAGCAGATGGGGGTACTGGGAAGCCAGCGACAGTGGGGGTGGCGTCTTCACAGTGCTCCAGGCCCGTCCTGTCGAGTCTCTCTTCTTGGTGTTGGAGCTGCAGTGCCCAAAGAGGTCCTGCCTGGCTCACGGTGGGTGATCGGCTGCGCAAGGATGGGGTGGGGAGGCTGTATGGCAAAAGGATTGGAGGGGGACGGGCCACGTCCTGGCTCCAGGGCAGGCTGGAAGACATTTGGTGAGTGGCTTTTACCTCCCTGAGCCTTGGTTTCCTACCCTGCACAGTGGGGACTTCATCAAATGATGCTTGTGGTTAGAACAGTGGCTGGTCCCGGGTACACAGTGTCAGTGATGATGATGGGCCTGGCCCTTCATCACTGCCCTATATTGCTGATCACGGTGTTTGGCGCCCAGTAAATGTCATACAGCGTTACTTAGGCATTTTATTCTAGGGGCCCCTGGCTGGCTAGGGCAGAGGAGCGTGCGACTCTTGCTTGATCTCAGGGTTGTGAGTTCAAGCCCCATGTTGGGCAGAGAGATTACTTAAAACTAAAATCTTAAAAAAAAAAAATTTGAATTCTACCATTGTAAGACCCACAACCCATTCCCAACACTCCATGCACGAGCTGGGGGCCTTGGGCATCTGATTCCTCCTCTCACTTCCAAACGCAGATAGGGAATCTCCCTTACCGGCTGCTGGGGTTTTCGGAGATACTCCAGGAGGAGAACCTGGCAGTGATGAATCAGAGTGAACTGAACTCAAGCATTTAGCACCGGGCCTGGCATATGGTTGCTCTCTCAGTACGACTGCTGGCGATGCCTCAAGTACTGGGGCATGCTGAGTGGTGAGAGAACGGAGGGCAAACGTTCCCTCACCTGTCCTGTTGAAGGTCATCGATCCTGAAGACGGACGCTTGGATGTCGGGGGGCCCATGGCGAGCAGAGTCTTCCCGTTGAGCCTCAGCCAGTCCAAGATACTGAAGCTATGGGGGGACAGCAGCACTCTGAAGGGAGTCTTCGAGGCAGGGGACATGTCAGCAGTAGCCACCAAGCTCCAGGCCACCCTTTACTCGCTGGAGAATGCCAGGCTGGATGTTGGCATCACAGGGGAAACGGGCTCAGGCAAGTCGAACTTTGTCAATGCCATCAGGGGGCTGGGAGACGAGGACCCCAAATCGGCCTACACGGGTGTGGTGGAAATGACGGTGGGACCCAAGCCGTACGCACACCCGAAGTACCCCAACGTCGTCGTCTGGGACCTGCCGGGCATCGGCGCGCCCACCTTCCAGGCGGAAAAATACCTCCAGCGGGTGCTGCCGGCCCGTTACGACTTCTTCATCATCATCAGCTCGGAGAGCTTTGCCGCCCACCACACCCAGCTGGCCCGTGAGCTCCGGCAGTGCGGCAAGCGCTTCTACCTCATCCGCTCCAAGGTCGACGTGGACATCGCCGCCTCCCGCAGCCGGCGCCCCAGCACCTTCTCGGAGGAGAGGGTGCTCAGCCAGATCCGGGATGACTGCTGTCGGCGGCTGGAGGGTGAGGGGCAGGCGGGTGGGTTCTGGAGGGGTCACCTGCCCCTTCCCCTGCCTCTGCCAGCCAAGGCCCGAGGAGGGGAGAGGGGTCGTCCAATGTCACGCCGTGTGACCGAGCTGGGCCCCGAGGTGGGGTGAGGCTCACAGCTGCCATTCATTTCCCGAGAGTTGGCGCTCCTCAGGCACGGGTGACAGAGACCAATCATCTGCATTAAGGAAATGGGAGGCGCGCTGGCTCGTGTATTTGCCAAGTTAGAGCCGTGCAAATGCTACGTGCCTGCGGGGCGCCGGCACCTGTGGCTGAGGGCAGCTAGCGTTTAAAGGATTACCACAGGCACTGCTTCCAGGCACTCACTTTACCGACCGGTTTCCCTAGGTGGTAGGTAGTTACCCCCTTGTGTGGTTTGGTAACTTGCCCGAGGCCATGCGGGGGGTGGGGGGGCAGGGAGCAAGGCTGGGATCCGGGGCGGCGCCCACACTCTCCAGCCGGGTGCTCCGTGCTCCTGGCAAGTGCTCGGCCTCCTCAGCAGCTGTAGGGACCTCGGGGCCTGCTCTGGCGCCAAAACGGCATGGTGCTCTTGTCTTCTGCAGCGGGGGGCCTGCAGGACCCCAAGGTCTTCTTGCTCTCCATGTTTGAGTTGGGCAAGTACGACTTCCACCTGCTGGAGGAGATGATGGTGGAGGAGCTCGAGAGCCACAAGCAGCATGCGTTTCTGCAGGCCCTGCCCAACGTCTCGAAGCCCATCCTGGAGAAGAAGGCAGCCTCGCTGCGGCAACACATCTGGCTGGTGGCTGCGGTGGCCTCCGGCATCAACCCGAGCCCCGTGCCAGGTGTACAGGATGTGGTGTGTGACCTACACACGCTCGACTCCCTGCGAGGCTACCGCTGCAGCTTCGGGCTGGACAAGGACTCGCTCGCCACGTTGGCGGGGCAGACGGGTCAAGCCCTGCACAAGATCCTGGAGGCGGCACAGGGCCCGGAGACCCAGGCCACCGAGGCACTGGTGGTGGAACGACTGGGCCAAGCCTCCCGGGATGCCTCTGCTTTCACCCAGGAGCTCCTCAACGTGCCCATCCTCGGCACCCTGGCCAACTGTGGCAACTCCTTCGCCACCATCTACCAGAGGCTCCGCACGTCTCTGGATGAGGCGGTCAAGGACGCCCAGAGACTGCTGCTTCAGGCCTTCCTCGACGACTCCGAACACGAGTTCCCAGACAGATCCAATCCGTGATCCCAGCCCTGAGCCTAGGCCAGCTGGAGGTGGCAGCGAGGGACTGGGAGGATACGGGTTCTGTCCCCAGGCAGGATGGTGCCGGGGGGAGGGAAAGAAACTCAAGCTCTAGCTCTCCTGGACTGAGCCTGTGTGCCACGTTTGTGGTTTTGAGCTCTGGGTTTCATGCCCTTTGGCCACTGCCCCCACCTTCCCTGCTCTGAACCCCCGCGTCAACCGGCAGTCCCCTGGGATGGAGAGGGAGCAGGCAGGACACGGGACAGGTAAATTTTGACAAGGTAGGGAGGAACTCCATTGTCTAGCTAGAGAGGGCACTTTGGAAGGTATTGGCGTAGGTCAGGGCAGTGGGGCAAAGGGTTCAGAAGCATTTCCCTAAGAATACAGTGAATGTCACAGCTCAGAAACAGCCAGTGAGAATCATCGAGGTTCTTGCCTAAGGTCTTCTCGGTCAGCAAGTGGTGGGGCCGGAGCCTGCTGTGGGTCTCATGCCCAAACCTTAGCCCCTCCCTCTTGGGCTACTCCTGACCCCAGTGTTTTCTTTACCATGTCCAGGATTCCCAAGACCAGGACACCAGGACTGTGTGGGTATGCCCAAGGGCAGGAGAAGGTAGGGAGACCAAAGGGGTACGGGGCAGCTGGCGGACAGACTCAGCTGGTGACTGAAACCAAGAGCATCCGTGAAGGGTGTGGAGCCGCAGGACTGGAGGGTCACGACTAACTGCAGACGGGTGGGATGGCCAGACCAATTTGGAGACAAACTTTGAGAAACACCAAGCTAAGACGTAACAGACTGAAACCGAGCAGATGAGGGCAGGGCCTATACTGAAGGGCATGGTGTATCTGACCGAGGGTCCGTTCTGGAATTAAAGGTAGAGACTACTTTTAATAAACAAGAGTAGGTAAGGTCTACGGGGAAAGGAAGCCGCCATATTTAACCAACAGGAGGCACCGTGTGTAAGGGTAAGGTAGTGTTTGCATAAGGGTAGAAGCTGTTTCAACTCAGGGTAAATACTATGTTGAACTAGAACATGTCCTACTTTTTAACCATGTACTGAATTAGGTCCTGCATTTAACTAGGCATTTCACCAAAGGCAGTGAGTCTGAGTCTCCAACTGAACACAGAGGACACGAGGGTGGAACTGCATTTAGCCAAAGGAGGGCACGGGATTTTCCTATCAGTAATACGGAGATGGGAGGCTTGATGTCACCCCAGGAAACAGAACAGCCATTCCTAGGGGCTTCCTCCTTAGCAAAGACTGGTTTCCATCTGCTCCTGACAACTCTATGACCTACAGTGGATGTGTCCCTGTGGGAAGGTCACTCAGGCTCTAATGGTGGCTATAGGTAATGTGCCCCCAAAGGCTGGGACCCCACTTTGCCCTGCTCCCAGGATAGCTCGCCAAGGAGAGGGAAAAAGAGAAGCACCAGAACAGGCTTGCGTGATTGTTTTTATTCAAACCACCAGGTCTGCCCCAACGAAGAGCTCCCCAAGACCCTGCTGCACCTCACAGGAAAGGGCTTAGGGTCAGTGAGGAGGGACCTGTTGCTCCTGTCCCTGCAGAGGGAGGTCAAGATGGAACCTGGGATGCTTGGGGACCATTCAGACTATTCCCACTGCCTGTCCCTGCAGGGAACCGAGGATGGCCCACCCTGTCCCAGATTGGGGGTGGGATCTCAAAGTTGCCCCCTGAACAATACTCCACTTAGGGTGGGGGGCCTAGTCCTGGACACCTCACGTCTCTGGGCGAGAATGTTGCGGTCCCTCATCCATCAGGCCTGCTGCCACTCTCCACCCACTGGGGCGGGGGCAGGACACATGTGGTCCCTCACCAACCATGGGGACCCAGGAGGGGGTTCTCCGCATGACGCTCCTTCCCTCGGCCTCAGGCCAGCAGGCGGCTGTACTCTGCCAGGGCAGAGGACTTTTTCACGCCGTCCCAGATCCGGGCAGCGTAGTGGAACCTGTGGGAGGAGGTCAGCAGTCAGCTGCCCCGGACTGAGCTGGCCGGGTGGGAAGCAGGTACTGCATACGACCTGCACACCCTGAGACCAGAACCTCCCCAGCAGGGACGCAGGGAAGACGGCAATGCTGATGGGACTGGCCAGGTTCTCAGACCTCACGCCGGGTGAGCCACACCGAGGGTGCCTGGTCTGGAACCTAGGCCTCAAGCCCCAACTCCAAGTCCAACTCCGAGTCGCCCCACCCCACACAGTGTTGGCCTCTGTGGGTTGGGGTTCTAGAACTCCCTCCAGAGTCTTACAACGGTTAGTGTTAACAGCTGCGTGACCCTCGCCTCCCTGCGCTCTGCCACTGACAGTGAGAGGAACAGAGCTCCCCGCCCCCTCGCCCTGCACCCCCGAATGGCTGTGCTATGTGTGCTCCCCAGAACCCCTCCTGGCCCCAGCTGACCGCAGACCCAGGGGAGCCACGCTAGAGGCTGCACCAAGCCAAGCTAGTTCTCCCTCAAATGTGTGGCTCCTGGAGACGAGATGATGCCGACCTGATGTGCAGACCTGCTGTGGGCTCTGGACACAGTCACATAGAGTTGGGGCTGGGGAGGCTCGGGGCTCTGTGAGAGCAGGTAGAGAAAGCCAGTTGGCAGAGAAGGAGTGAAGGTGGAGGCGGACAGTGGGACTGTGCCGTCCAGCAAGAGCTGGAAAATGCAGCTGCTCTGGGGACTTAACAGTGTCTTCTGGGAGGCCACACTTTCTGCCCTCGTGGCCTCAGAACAAACACTCCTCGAGCCTGACTGGGCTCACTGCTCCCACTCCTCACTGTCAAATGATACCTGGCCACAGCTGCTGTGACAGAGCTATGTGACATCTCCTGTCTCCAAGCCTAGATTTCCCCACTAGTAAAATTGGTGACAAGACTTCAACCCCGCTGGCTACTTGGGGGGACTCAAGATCCCATGAAACAGCATGGCGCCGGGCACGGAAGCTGTCAGTGATGTTTCCGAGAAGGAAAGCGAGCTGTGGAGGGATCACTGAGACCTTCCTCTTGCCTGCACGCTGACCCTCTGCCAAGAGCTCTTACCAGTTCTTCTCAGTGAGGATCGTGTGTGACAGCTGTGGCCGGGCCATGGACATCACCTGGCTCCGGAGCTTGCTCACCAAGGACTGGAAACTGGGGTGGCCCCGGTACCCAGGGAGCAGGGAGAAGAGCGGGCTGGAACCGGGTCCTAGAACGTTGAGGTGGGGAGGATAAGGGCGCCAGCCTGCCAAGAGAAGGCCTTTCCTTTCTCCTGGTCACCCAGCACCCTGGGCTGGGACACCCGGAGTACCGCCCTGTTCAGACCAGTCCTTCCTGTACTTCCACAACTTGGACACACGCTCCTAAGGCTCCAAGCACCTTAGGGACAAGCCAGAGTCTCCCCTCAGACCAGTGTGGGTCTCTACCACCCCAGCCCAGGGCATCCTGTGTCTCCCTCCAGACCAAGGAAGAACTGGCAGCCCTTGGACCAGATTCCGAGGAGGAACCGTACCTGCTCTTGGTGGGTTTTCACTCTCTGCTTCGCTGTCCATGAAGGGCACCAGGAACAAGTTGACCTCAGAGTCCAGGAAGTCAGGTGGGAGCCCAGGGAAGACATTGCACTGTAGCATGGACAGGGTACCTGTGGGAGAGAAGCCATCAGCCTGCAGGTATGATGCTCAGGGGCAGGGGAGGTACACGGATGATCTTCGAGCTAGGGGCAGGAGGCCAGTCTGGACGCTGGGGCCATGGGACCAGACCAGGAGTCAAGAGGCCGCTGGCCAGCATCGGGGTGGTTCAGGGACCCTCACCCTTGTAACGCAAGTGCGAGTGAGCCATGAGCTGGTCAATCATCAGGTGCATCTGTCGCAGCTTTCGAGGACAGAAGTCTTCTCGACGAGCTTTGTTCTGCAGGAAGACTGAGGGGCGGGAGGAGAGACGCGGTCCTGTGAGGCCGCCGGGGCTTGGCTGTGTAGACTTCCCCTCTCGTGCCAAAGACCTGCAGTTACCCCTGGGTTCGAAGCACTCATAAATATTTACGTGACATGTTACTTTGCTTCCAGGCCCTGCACCAGGCCCTGGGGACCCAGATACGAGTCAGATGTGGTTTCTGCCCCCAAGGAGACCCCAGTCTGATGGAAAAGACAGAAGAGGAAGATAGGCACGGGATCAGGAGTGAGACGGGAAGGCACCAGGGGCTTGGTGAGACAAGAGGAAGCAGGAAGTCCCGGTCTAGGGCGGCATAAATGAACTAGATCTTTGTGGAAGAGCAGTGCATGGGCAGAGCACAGCAGAGCGAGGACGGAGCAGGCAGTGTGTGTGGCTGAGGGAGGGTGAGCAGGGTGCCCGGGGCCACTCAGGGTAATGGCAACTCATTCCGAGTCTATGCTGGAGATGCCAGGGTCAGAGAAATGGGCAGATGTGGGTCCTGTCTGCAAAAAGTGCTCATTCTGATCAAGGAGCTGGAGCCAGAGCCAGACCCAGACTCAGGCTTTGTGCCCTTGGTGGCCAGGTGGGACCCTCAGAGGAAGGAGCAGCTACTCTGCTCTTTCTTCCTCCCAGCTCCCCACTTCCCCAGTGCTGCTGGTTTTTGCCCCTCATTTCTCCTCTGCCCACCCCTCCAGCCCCAGAAAACCTCTCACCCAGGTGGGGGTAGTACTCAGTGCCTTCGTCGGAGCCTGAGGAGCTGCTGGACTCATGGCTGGGGGACGGGGTGGACGGCTTCACCATCTCTGCTGTCTGGAGGAACCTGGGGTTTGGGGTGAGAGGTTGGTGCTCTGGCACCGGCACCCCCATCCCACAGCCTAGGGACAGGGCTCTCTCTGTGCATCTGGTAAAAACTACAACCACACTCAGAAAAATGAATACACACACAATTTTAGAGAATTCACAGACAACTCTCTCACACACCAATCCGTGGACCCATGCTAGATGTACGCATTTTTTACTGAGCTTATGCTGTTAAAAAATACTTATACAAAAACAAAACAAAACAAAAAAATTCTTCCATTTTTTAAAGCATTTGTATGATCACAGCAAAACTGAATTAAATACAGGGATTTCCACAGACACCCAGCCCCCACACACGCACAGCATCTCCCCACTATCAACATTCCCATGGACCTATGACCTATTATCATCACCCAATGTCCCTGGTTTACACTAGGGTTTCCTCTTGGTGTTGTCTACAACCTCTTGGTCACGTATCCACCACACAGTATTACAATGAATGCTTTCACTCCGTGCTCCGCCCTACCCGCCCCTCCCTCCCCTCCCAACCCTTGATCTTTTCACTTGTCTCCACAGTTTAGCCTTTTCCAGAACGTCATATACTTGGAATCATACAGTAGCCCTTTCAAACTGGTTTCTTTTACTTAGTGATATGCACTTAAGGATATGTACTTTCTCCATGTCTTTTCATGGTTTGATGTAATTAATATTCCATTGTCCGGATGTACCAGTTTATTAATTTACCTACTGAAAGACACACTGATGGCTTCCTAGTTTTGGCAATTATGAATAAAGCAGATTTGAGAGAGAGAACAGGTGCATGAGAGTGCAGGAGTGGGGAGAGGGGGAGAGAGAGAATTGTAAGCAGACTCCATGCTCAGCATGGGGCCAGATGTAGGGCTCGATCCCAAGACCCTGAGACCATGACCTGACCCAGAATCTAGAGTCGGACACTTAACTGACTGAGCCGAACAGGAGCCCCGTGAATACAGCTGCTTTGTAAACATCCATGTGCAGGTTTCTGTGTGGGCCTAAATTTCAATTTATGCTATTTTAAAATAACTTTTCCAAATACGTAAACAAAATACAACTGCTATCCGAGGTAAGGGATAATGGGACACAATAAAAAGCTACAGATATTCTCCTCACACAGACACATACTCAAGTATGTCATCCAGTTTCAAGGGGTTCGCCTGCCAAGAAGCCCACCGCTAGGCTCTGCCCCGTGCCACCCCGCGTCTACGCCCCCGTCAGAACGTGAACCGCACAGGGCAGTCTGTTTCATTCACACCTGCGTCCTCAGTGCCCAGAACAATGAATAGCATCCATAAATGTTCAATATCTTTGTCATGTGAATGAATTCAAATACACAGTGGTATGAGGGGTAGTGTTTCAGAAATAAGACACTTAGATCTGGTCACAACGGCTAGATCTCCCACAAAGTCATTTTTACTGCTGGCCAGACCACACTTCACCCCCACACCCAGGGTCATCTGTAAACGCTGAGCTTCTGTTCATCAGCTGCTTATCACGTACCAGGTACTATGCTATAGTGAACGCTTTGGTTCTTTCACTCACTTAGTCTGAATAAAACAATCTGCCTACGAGTAGCCAATGAAAAAGAAGGCACTCCCCTAGTAAAAGCTGGGGTTCAAACCCAGGGTTGCTTCACTTTGGAGACACCTGCTTCCCTTGGCTCTGCTCTCCCCTCCTCAGGAGCTCCTGCTCCTTCCTTCTGTCTGGGCCCTGTGCCCAAGGTGGCTGGCCTCCACACCAGTACGCTCTGGGGCCTGAAGCCAAGAGGAACCCTCGTGCCTCAGGTTCTAAGCCAGTTCTGTCTTGGGGGGTGGATTTCTAGAACCTCCAGCTGCTTCGGGTAGACCTCCTGCCAGATCCCAACTCCTTCCCCCTCTTCTTGCCTGCCAGGGCACCGACAGAATGGTATGCATGCCTGCAGGGGACGGGAAAGATGGCCAAGCTGGATCCCGACGATGCTCTCCACTCAACGAACGTGCATTAATTATCTAGCTTGGGCCAGGCACTGTGGGAGGCACTGGGGCTCCTGGGGCATACATTCTAATGGGGGTGGCGGACCATGAAGAGACCCACAATGTCCTGCCAGGGAGCGATGAAGGCAAATGAAGGAAAACATAGTGGGCTAAGAAGTGGGGACTTCAAACGACATGAGAGAGACTGAGACTCGCAGGAACAGTATTTCTAGCCAAGAGATGGAGGAATAGCCATGGAGTCACTAAGGCTTTAACGGAAGGAGCGAGGGAACGCGGTGAGAGAAAAGGTCAGTGAGGTGACTGGAACTGTACCGCAGAGGACCCTGTAGACCACACTTGGGAAGGACTTTGGATTTTACTCTGAGTGATGTAAAAAGTCAGTGGGGAGTTGTCAGCGTGTGTATGTATGCTGGATGGTGGTGACCCACTCCAGCTCACATTCTAAAGGGGTCCCCGTCTCTTGCCTGGCTCCCCCTCCCCACCCACCCGCTCCTCACCTGTACAGACTGAGGTCTGTGAACCAGTCCTGGACGACGATCACCACATGGCAGACCGTGAAGAGGAAAGCAGCAATCTGGAGTGACTAAGAGTGGGCAGGAAGGGACGACAGAGTTGAAGGTCCCCTCCGCCCAGGGCGGGGTCCCTGTTCCCAAGACTAAGCTAAGGGGGCAGCAGGGCAAGGGCCTGAGCCTTGAAGCACCTCCTGCGTGCCCGGGCCACGCTGGCTCTTCCTTTACGGCCATCCCTCAGGTAGGCAAGGTAGGAGTGACCACCCCCACCTCACAAAGGCAGATAAAGAGGCCTGAAGGGGGAGGAGGCAGGAAATGACTTTTCTGAGGAGCAGGGCCAGGAGATGAGCCAGAGAGGACTCTCAACGCTATTCTTTCCTACAGCTCTTGGGGCCCCCACGGCTCTTTATGAAGCAGAAACTGGGTCAACCCATATCCAGCTCCCCATCACAGGTTGAGGGGCGGGGTGCGACCTCTCCTCTAGGACGGACTTGGCCCCTCACCTGCATCTCAACGTAGGTGTGGGGCAGGTTGTACTCTGGCGGCAACTTGCGGTCGTTGTTGATAAGGTGGTCCAAGATGGAGGGACTCAGGATGGGCTGCAGCAAGGGAGAGAAGGTGTCAGGAAAGGGCTGGTGGCCGGGGCTTTGAGGGTCGCAGCCACCCAAGTTCCACACGTCGAAGGCAAGTACCTCGCCTCTCTCAGGACAAAATGAGCTCAGGAACACGGGCAGTTTCTAATGAGTCAGTGCGAGTGAGCAAGAGGAGATGAGAGCAGAATGTTTCAAAGCAAACACACTTCCCCCAGCCCTTTTACAAACTGTCACTGCTCTCAAGTGCCCCACGCTCAAGAGAACTCTCCTAGTGCTGCTAAACGTAATGTTGACTTAAATGACAAATGTCCTTTCAAGTGTCCTTTTCTTCCCTTAGTTGTCTCAGAGACTTTCAAAACTTCACTAAGATAATTACTTTGGTCTAAAAACAACGATTAGTGTGAAAGTTGGCGAGGATTTAAAAATTGCATCCATGGGTGTAAAACAGTCAGTAGTGAGTGAGTTCATCACCTTTTCTCTAAGGAACACTCCATCTCAAAACCGTAAGGTTCAATCAGCTCGGCAGTCTTCTTGACTTCTTAGGGACATGAGTGGAATTCTTTAAGTAAGAGGCTCTCCCACTGCTCGCTTTCTCGGACTCCCAACGCTGCATGCTCTATTCTGCCTTAACTCCCGTTCTGTTCCACGTGGGTCCCGGACCCAGCTCACAGCGGCTCAGTTGGTCCCTAGCACAGAGATGAGGCCCCTGCACAGGGCCTGGCTCAGATCTCACGCCGCATTTGTGGGTTTTCCACTCTCTGCGTCATCAATGCCTATGGGGACTCGAACTCTGTTCCATCAACACTCAGTGAGCACCAACTATGGGCCAGGCCCCGACCAGCAGAGCTGCTCCCTGAAGAGCTCCCGGCAGGTGGGGAGGGGGAGCGGTCCACATGCAGGGAGCTGTGATAGAGCAGTGCTGTGATGGAAGGTGCATGTGGCACTGGTGGGTGCTTGGAGGAGGGGAAGCCTTCTGGGAGGCTCTGCAAAAAGGCAGAGGAGAGAGAACTTCTCATGATCATGACGCCGCCGGTTAAGAGGAGGAAGTATGTACTTCATGTCCGGCACTGTCGTTAGGACTTTACTTGTCTTCGCTCGCTGAAGCCTTACAAAACCCTACACGGTAGGCAACAGTATTCTTCCCCCTTAAGAAAACTGGGGAACAGGCGGTTTCAGATAAAGGGAACAGACTGGGGACAGCCCAGAAGGAGAGAGATCATGGCCTTGTGGTGTGTGTGGTGGAGCTAGACACGCAGCAGAGAGGGCAGGCTAGAGTCCAAGGGAGGAAACTCCACAAGCCTTGAACACCATGCTAGGGACGGGGACTCTGCCTGAGGTCAAGGGAGAAGATGAGGAAAACCACCAGTCACACACATGACAGGTCAGCTCTAATGACTGTGATGGGCCTGAACACTATGGGACAGGTCCAATGCCAAGCACTCTGCTGGACTGTCCTACTAAATTCCTGCAATGACCTGGGAGGCTGAGAACAAATTATCATCCCCTTTTATAGACAAAGCAACTGAGATCTAGGTGGGTAGACACATGGTTCAAGTCACCCAACCCGTAGGAATTAAAGGCCAAATCTGGACATACACAGACCGACTTCAGGGCCCACACATTTAACCACTCTGCTAGAAGATTCTTTAGGCTACTGTGTACAGGATGGATGGGAGGGGAGGGAGGGAAATAGGATAAGAGACTAGATGCCAAGAAAAGACATTAGAATCATTCTGGGATGGAGCTGAATGCGGCACACAGGGTGGGGGGTGGCGGAGGTTGGCACCTGTGTGTCCAGGAAAACGATCCGCTCTTGGGTAATAAAGAAGTCGATGCCACTGGTCTGGTTGCCCCCACGTTCCTTCATTTCGGCACTCTGGGCCCGGAAAACATACGCCCTGTGGAGAGGGGCAGGCGGGGTGCGTTAGAGGTCTGGTTCTTAGCCTTCGACACCTCTGGAGCATGACCCTGCGAAAGGAACGCGTGAGGCATGGTGCGCTGCCTGTCCACAAAGTCTTCCATCTGTGGCCCCTGCTGTCTGGGGGCCTACATTTTATTCCGCATGACTTTACCCTCACTGCTAAGGAGATCTGTCAACTCATTCCATGAAGTCAGTAGCCTGAGGTATTTAAGAGCAGAGACTTTGCTAGACTGCTGGGATTTCCAGTGCCAGCTCTGCCTCTTCCTGGCTAGGTGGCTTTGGGCAAGTCCTTCATCTCTTTCTCCTCTGTTTCCTCATCTATGAACGGGGATAACAACAGTCTCAAAACTCTTGGTGTTACGATGAGGCTAATGTACGGGAAGCCCCTAGGAACGTGCCTGATGCACAGTGATGCGTATCTGGGAGCCATTAACTACCAACTGCACCTGCCACAGGCCAGACACTGCAGACACAGCACTGAGCCCTCCCCACCCCCAGGCTGAGAGGCCGTTGGCTGTAGAACTCGGTTCCCAGTTCTTCCTCTGTGAGGGAAGTCTCCCTCAGTTCCACCTGCGCTGGACGGGGAGAAGAGACCAAGCAAAGCAGGCAGAGCTGAGCCTTGCCCTAAACCAATTAAACTAACTTGGTCACATTCTGTGGCTCAGACAAAGAGATTTCCTCTTTCAATCTGTAAAATCAGGGCAATGGTACCTAGCTCGCAAAAGGTACTCCCCGCCTCCCTGAGACACTTAGTATGCTGTCTGACACAGAGCAAGGGCCTCCTGCCTCACGAACACTGCACTGAAGGCCTCGCATGCGTGTGGCAGCGCGGACATCTCTGCTTCCGTGGAGCTCCCGGTCTACCTCGCAAATCAAGAGAAATCAGTAACTCCGAGCGGCAGGAAGAAGAGGTGTGAAGCCCTCTGAGTGGGGGTAACTCAGCTGGTACAGCTAGGAAGGGATGCCAAAAAAGAGGTGAATGACTACACCGAGAGAGAGAAGAGAGTTAATTATGCAACTTCAATTAAGTAAAAGGGGAGGTGCAGGGGGGATGGAGGACGGAAGCAAAGACTGTCCCAGGCAGAGGACAAGTGGTATGTATGAGGCATCAAAGCCGAGTACGGTGAGAGCGGAGAACAAGGGGGCTGGGAGCCAGAGGGGGATATGCAGGCCTGTGAGACACAGTAAGGAGCTGCGGCTTTGGCTAATGAGCCTGAAGAAGCCCTGAAGACATTTAAGTGGAGAAGTGAAAGGACTGGATGTGGGTTTTAAAAAGCTCCCCCTTTTAGGGGAGGTCTCCCACTACGCTGAGGACCGTAGTGTGGAAAGAGTAGATGACAACTTACAGGCCCGACACCCTAGGCCTCCCTTACCAACCCCCCCTTTTTTTTTTTTAAAGATTTTTTTTATTTGACAGGGAGAGAGAGAGAGAGCGCGCGTGCACATGTGCACACAAGCAGGAGAAGGGGGAGAGGGAGATGCAGACTCCCTGTGGAGCTGGGAACCAGACACAGGGCTCCATCCCAAGACCCTGAGATCACGATCCGAGCCAAAGGCAGCCAACAGAGCCCCTCCCTTAACCTCTCTGACCAGTTGCCTGTGACTTCCCATCTTGCTCACTCTGCTCCAGCCCCACGGCCTCCACGCCGTGCTGCACACACACCAGGCAAGCTCTAGCCCCCGAGGCCAGCTTGTACCACTCCCTGGTTAGGATGCTCTCCCTCCTCCAAGTCTGCTTTTCCTCCATGTCCTGCTTGGGAGGCGTCCCCTGACCACTCGAGTTAGAACTGTCATCTAGCACCCATACTACTTCCCTAGAACCCCTTCCCCTGTGGCTATCATCTTCTAACATGTCCAAGAACTTATTTGTTTGCTACGGACAGAGGTGTTTGCCAATTTTGTTTGCTGCTGTGTGCCCAGTGTCCAGAACAGCACCTGGCACATCATTAGCACTCGATAAACACTAGCTCAACTGAACTAAAGCAGGGAGACCAGTAAGGAGGCTCTTGGCATCCTCCAGGGGAGGGGTCAGGAGACAGGAATAAAGAAGGGGAGAAGTGGATGAGTTCTTAACATAATCCAGAGACCCGATGGCAAGAGTTAAAATCAAAATCCACCATACCACAGGCGGATGTGGCTCAAAAAAGACCAGCTAGGCCTGTAGAATTCTCTAGCTCAGGAATCTGAACTCAGAGCTGGGGGGAAATTTCGCTGGCTGGGGGAAGCGGAGATGGAAAGAATGCTATCCAGAGCTGGGGCTGCTCCCCAGCGGAGCCAAGGTGAGCCGAAGTCAAAAGCGAGTAAGTTACAAGTTATAAGAGAGGAGATGGTGCAGACCTGGGAGGAAGGGCAACCCCACAGCTCTGGTTCTAGTGGATGTATATGCTCACAATAGTGGTTCTTAACTTGTTCTGGGTCTCCCTCAGACCCCTCTAAGATCCGGTGGAAACTGCAGACCCTTTCCTTAGAAGAAAAGCCTGACTGCCCATACGTGTAAAATTCTGCATTTACTGTTAGGAGGTTCATGGACCCCCTGATGCCGATCCATGGAATGCAAAGTAGTATCGCCTGTTTCATTAAAAAACCAAACCCCTGTATTTTTTAGACAATCCCAAGTGGCTACTACCCTTACTCCTTCCCCAGTTTGAGTCTTCTTTAATCAGACTGTGTATGGTCCCCCTCCTTCCTAGTCCCTGCCTTTCCCCCTTTCCTCCCCTGCCCTCAGTTTTGGTCCCTAGTTCTTAAGCTCCCTCTTCCCCTACATCCTCTCCTGTGCCTTCATACTTTACTTCACAATCATCCCATCCTTCCTCAAGAATGCAGGACTGAAGTTGGTCTAGAACCCATGCCCGACATCTGGGTCTCTTTCCCCATTCTCTTTACCAGGCCTTATCAACCAATATCCCGTGAGCATTTGCTCTGTGTCAGGTTCTTACTAATGTTTGCCTTCCTGATCTCATCCTTCAAAAGCCCACTTTACAGATGACGAAGTGAGATCTTGGGAGGTGAAGTAAACTGGGCAAGGGCAAACAGCTGGTGAGTGGCAAGGCTGAGAGACTGAAGTCAGCCTAAATCTAAAGCTGGGCTCTATACCATTCCTGGAGCAAGGTAGGGAGGGAGGGAGAAATAAGATTGGTTTCCCTGGAGCTACACAAAGATTTAGTCCAGCCCCTAATCACCCTCATCTGACAAAGACATGGAGGCCATGGGAGGTGAAACATTATCTCGAAGTCCTTTTGGCAACACCACTTGCCATACCTAGGCCCACCCTTCCCCATCCCAGGTGGGTGCCCACCTCCCTCCTGGTCTTCTACTTCCCTTACCTCTGGTCCTCCTCAGGAGTGTTGGCCGACAATAGTGACATGACCATGGACTTGCCTGTCCCCTGGAGGCCCAGGACACCAACCACCAACACGTCAGTCTGATCCAACAGGTACTGTGGGAAGATGAAGGACTGTGACCCTCATAAATGTGTCAGTTGCTGGAGTGGGAGTGAGACTGGGGTGGGGTGGGGTGGGGTGGGGCAGAGACTTCCAGACAAGGCTGGCCTGATGAAGAAAAACTTCCAGGGCTTGAATCCTGAGCTGGGCAAAGACCCTGTATATGTATGTGGCGGCACAAAGAATAACTTTTGTCAGAGATCCCAAGTAGTGAAGAGCCTGGCATGGTCAAGAAGCTGACAGGAGGGGCGCCTGGGTGGCTCAGTGGGTTAAAGCCTCTGCCTCCAGCTCAGGTCATGATCCCAGGGTCCTGGGATCCAGCCCCACATTGGGCTCTCTGCTCAGCAGGGAGCCTGCTTCCCCTCCTCTCTCTGCCTGCCTCTCTGCCTACTTGTGATCTCTGTCAAATAAAATCTTAAAAAAAAAAGAGAGAGAGAGAAGCTGACAGAAGATCAGTGCAGCTGGGACACACTGGCTAAAAGGGGAACCTGACTTTGCTGAAGAGAAGGAGAAGGGTACAGGAATGAAGGACAGGTGGAGGAAGACAGTTCTTGTCACTGAGGGCTACTGGAGCAGACTCCTGCAGGGCTTTCGGCTTCTGGAAGGCCAGGAAAACATATGGAAGTATGAAAAAGGGAAGAGCGTGCAGGAAGGGGAGGTCAGTCTGTCCTGGCTCCTGTCTGTGGGATTTAAGGGTCCCAGAAAATCCTGAGGCCTTCACCTCCGGCCCACCAGTTCTGATGCCTTCCACCACCAGGGGGCGTGAGAGACACTCCTCAAGAAAAACAGGGAAGTCCTCAACTGGCTCCTTGGAATCACCTGGAGTTTTTTAAAGAAAAAAAAGGGGGGGAGGGCAGCTAATCTCGGGCCTCACTCTAGCCACATTAGAGCAGAAAACCTAGGCCTAGCCCAGTTCAGTAAGGCAGACGCTGTCCACACATGGCCATTTAAACTTCAATTAAACAACACTATGCTGGCCACATGTGGGGTATGTGGACTTGTAAGTGCCCACAAGCCACACCTAAGGAGAGTGGCTACCACACGAGATGGTGCAGATACACTCTCAACACTGCACAGCGTCCTACCTGAAGAGCAGGCCTGGACCCTGGCTTTTGTTCTGTTTTGTTTTAAAGATCGCCAGTTGATATTCATAAGACAGTGGACACAGAAAGGCAGCAGGCCAGGTAAGAGATGGGCCTGGCATGTTGTTTTAGTAACTCCAAGCTGCCGGAGAAGGAAAAGGGACACATCTGGGGGAATCTGGGCAGGGATGGCATGGGATGGGATGGGTCAGGTCTAGGGGGGAAAAGCAGCAGAAGAGGAGAAATGAAGCCTGGGAGACTGGAGGCAGGGCAGTCCAGGAATGGGAGGTCTGAGCTAGAGCAGGGGCCGCTGTGATGGACAGGGAACCTCTGGGGAGTGAGATTCAAACCAGTTAACACTGGTACAACATGGGTTTCATCCAGTTAGGAAGGGAACTGGAGCAGGGTCCAGGAGGCTGCGCTGCTATGGGATGGCGTCTGGGTGGCAGTGAGTCCCTCCTTGCCAACCAGTAACCAGCGGCAAACTATTTCAGTATTTTAACAACCAGCACAGCCGATCTAGTGGAAGCCACTGCCATCCAGCCCTGGCTGAGGACTCGGATTCCTTCTCTCTCATTGTTGCAACTGCTGGAAAGCTGGCCAGGCTCGTACTGCCTGCCAAGAGGGTGGCGGTGGGGAGCGGGGTGGATGTGGCGAGATGTGGCACCTGGGGACGCTCAAGCGCGGAGACACGACGCCCCCCTCAGTACCTCAATGGCGCTGTCACACCAGTTCATCTGGTCATCCACCAGCTTGATGCTGTGCTTCATGCGTTCTGGGGGCAGTAGTTTTGCCTGGCCCACGACCGCTGGAGACAGGGAGAGCAGGAGACAGGATGTGGTGGGGCTCCGTGTGAGGGCATCCCGGCCCCCAACCAGATCCTGCCCGGGCCCAACTCACGGTCCATGGCTGCTGGTGCGGCAGTGCCCATGCCTCGGTTCTGGATCTGGTACACAGGCTGTGTGGGCCTCTGCCCCTCCTTTTCTCCCTTGGGTGGTGCAGGGGCTGCAGGGGGCGCAGGGGCAGTGCCCTCGGGGGTGGAGGTATTTGCTGCAGCCGCAGGCCCTTTCCCCTCTTCCCGCGGCTTCATGAGGACGATGGGCTTCTCCAGAGGGGCTGGGGCGGGTGGGGCAGCAGGGGCTGCTGGAGGTGGTGGCTGCTTTGACTATGGGAGAGAGAAGTTTCCAGTCAGTGGGAGGGATCCTTGCCCCAACTGCTCCCAGCCTCCCCTTCAGAAGATTCTTCCCCGCTCACCCGCTCTGCTGGAGGTTTTGAGAGGATGATGGGGGTTTTCTGCATGACCGATGAGCTTGTCTCTTCGCTGCCATCCTGTGGTGAGGGAGGGCAGTTACTCAGGAACGGCTCCCCTGGGACACTCCCGAAGGACTTCACGTGCCAGGTACAATTCTAAATGCCTTCATGTATCAAATTCTCAATTCCACCAACAACCCCGGGAGATAGATACGATTATCCCCATTTTACAAATGAAGAAACTGAGGTCCAGAGAGGTTAACTGCCTTGCCCAAGGTCACACAGCCAATAAGCAACGGAGTCAGGATTTGAACCCTGGCAGCCTGGCTCCAGAGTTGCACTCAGTGGCCTCTGCCAGACAAGCCCAGGCAGAAGGAGCCAGGGCTTGGGAGCTCGATGTGGGTTCAAACTTGGCCCTGCCTTTTGCTGGCTGTGTGAACTTGGATAAGGAACGACCCTCACTTCAGCCTGCTTCCTCATTTGGCGAACAGGGATAGGAATTTCTTCATGGGACTCCCACAAGGTTGAAAGTAGATGAACTTGTAAACGGTCCACGTGGCAGGAGCTCACTGCCTGCCGACTGCTATCCTGCCCGCTCCTCCGCTCCACTGCTGTGCCTGCCAAGCCAGGGGCCTGATTCCCACACCTTGCCCTTCTCGTGCTTCTTTCGACCCACCCCCGACCTGCTTAAATGGAAAGGGGAGAGATCTGAGTTTGAGTCTTGTTCTTTTCTGGCTCCCTGACGAACCTCAGGAGAGCCATGAACCTTCACCGGGTCTGTTTCTTCACCATATACTGGGGATACTGGCCTATGGTGAGGAATAAACAAAAGGGCACGAAAGTGTTCTAGAAAGAACAGTTGTGACAGAACTACAGGAGAGGCCGTGGGCCTTCAGAAGGCCAGGGAGGAGGGGAGGATATGTGGGGCTGAGGCTGTGAGGGCGGCGAGAAGATGGTGGACAGGAGATGTACTCAGGAGGTACAATGTCCAGCAAGGGTGTCGGACTGGCTTGGGGATGGGGTGTCCAGCCAGGATGAGGCCCAATGGGCTGTCACAGATACTGGGAGAAGGAGAAATGGGAGGGAGCTGCTGAGATCAGCAGGGGACACAGAGGATGTGAGGAGTCCACTGACCAGTCAATGTCAAAGTCAGAGACAGACGAGAGACTCTGGAGTTGCTTATCCCCCTAGGAAGATGGTAACGTTCCCCAGGATATGTGTGGAAGGAAGAGAGACACTCTGTTCTCTCCTGTGCTGCAACCCAAGGGAAGGAACAAGCAAGAGCTGAGCTTACTGTGAAGAAATTATTCTTCATGTTTGCAGTTTTATGGTTCAGAAACTGGTCCCAATTGCCCCCTTCTTCCTTCCCCTCCCACCCCCAACCCAAACCTCTCTCAGAGGTGGAGAAAGAACCTCAGTGGGGAGCAGGTTCTGGCAGTGACTCACCTAAGCACACGAGGGGAGCAAGGCAGGACTTGCACCTGTGCCGAGGCTCTGTATTCCAAGCCCAGGACACTTGAGCAGAGAGAACAGGCTGGGCTTGGGCTCAGCTGGATCTGGCCTTGAGTTCTGGCCCCAAAGCTTACGGACTGTGACTTTGGGTTAGGTCTCTTCTCCTCTGAGACTCATTTTCTTCATTAGTGAAAATCAAACCTAGGTTCTACTTCATGGGGGTAGCTCTAAGGGTTCAGGAAGACCCCAAAGGATGTTAAAGCACTTTGCGCAGCGCCAGCATACCGCATGCCGCCCAACATGGTGACAGCTGCTGTTGTTAGGGGGCGCCTGGGTGGCTTCTGTTGGTCAAGCATCCGTCTCTAGATTTCGCCTCAGGTCATGATCTCGGGGTCATGGGATAAAGCCCTGCATCGGGCTCTATGCTCAGTGCAGAGTCTGTTTGTCTCTTCTCCCTCCCCCAACTTGCACGTGTGCTCTCTCAAAAAAAAATAAATAAATAAAATCTTAAAAAAAAAAACCAAACCAAAAACCCAAAACAGCTGCTGTTGCTATACGACTCTTTAAAACATGAGCTTATGGCACCTCTCAGCTCAAACTCTCCAATGTCAGTTTCATTTGGCGAAATCCAAAGTCCTTTCCCAGGCCTCTCAGGTCCAACGTGATCTGGCCTGAGTTACCTCTCTGACATGATCTCCTGTCACCTTCCATTCTTCACCCTCTGCAGCCACACCGGCTTCCTGGCTGCTCCCGGAATACACCACACTTAGGGCTCAGGGCCTTCACATTTGCTCTTCAGATTCTGTTATGATGTATTTCCTCACCTCTTCAGGGAGGCCCTCGCTGTCCACTTCATCTACGACAGCCCCCTCTGTCACTCTCTGCCATTACTCCATGAGGCCAGTCAAGTTTTGTTCACAGAGCCTCAGCATCTAGATTAGTGCCTGGCACATGGAGGTGCTTAAAAAACATTTGTGGAATGAGTGGATACATGATGTTACCCTTGGGCCCACTCACTCACCCGTCTCTCTCTCTCCCATGGGGCAATGTAGTCCCTCTCCCGACCACCAGGCCCAGAGAGGTTCTGGGGGCCACCAGGGCCAGGCTCCTTCCACCGTCGCCGCCTCTCTATCCCATAGAGTCCAGGCTGACTGTGGCCAGACTCAGACATGGTTGCCTACAGAGAGAAAGAGGTTGATTTCAGGGTAAAGAGATGCTCTGCCATCTATCTGGCTCACTCTGGACTGTAAGAAGGCACTTTGTTTCCAGAGAGCTCTGTGGCTGTGGCAGTGACTGCCAGCTGCCTCTCAGGATCTACTCTTTTCGCACTTCTTCCAAAAAATATAAAATTCTCAGTTCTGAGCAGGGCACTTGGCTGTCCAGAACACACTTCTCAGCATAATTTGCAGGTAGGTGGTCATGTTCAAGTTCTTTCTGGCCACTGGTATGACACCAGAAGTGTGTTTTGGCAGCTTTCAGAAACTTTCCTTCAAGACACTAGCACATAACTTTTGCCCTCCTTCTGGCTGAAAGGAATGTGATGTGCAGGCTGGAGCTCAAGCAGCCACCTTAGGCTGGAAGGAAGAAGGCGTGGTAGAAAAAGATTCAGAGATCCCCTATTAACCTTATATTGTCTACTTCTGGATGCAGTGAGAAACAAATATACTTCTCTTACTTGTAGCCAAAACTATTCCCAACTATTAATCACTTTGCCCCAACATAAGTACAACTCACAGGGGAAGAGTCACATAAAAACGGGACATGTTCTTTCCCAAACTGCAGCAAAACATTTCCTTACACATCAGTAACATGATCCTCACTCTGACAACTACTGTTTTGATTATGGAATACTGGCATACACGGGGCATTCAAGGGCCTAATTTCATCTGGTGTCTCATCTGGCATCATCAGTCTGTTTACCTTCCATTTCTGATGGTCAGCTATGCCTCACACTCCAAGGTCTCACCAGTGGTTAATCTAAGGTGTTATAAAATGTACTGCTACCCATATGATCCACCCTACCATTTAACTATCTTTATAGGTCCCTCTAGGGAGTTTCCCCAGCTGTTTACCCTTCCTCCTAGGGAAGTGTCAGAGTACTTAACAGTCTGTTTGCAAGACTGTAAGACCATTTACTATTTAGCTCACTGTTGTCAAGTTGGCACACTGTAGCCTATGGACCAAATCAGGGCTGCGTTCTGTTTTTGTAAATATGTTTTACTGGAACACAGCCACGTCCATCAATTTATAATAGTTGCCTTCTTGATAGAATGGCAGAGCTGAGTAACTGAGACAGAGACACTATGGCCTGCAGCATCTCTGGCCCTTTACGGTTTGCTGACCCTTGCTTAGCGCTTAAGTGCCTGTGAAATCATTCTACGAATCCCCCCTCCCACCCAAGAAAACAGTGCCTAACTGGGCCAAGTGCCGGATTCTTTCTCCAGAACTGCAGTGTTTACAGGATGTGGGAGTAATTTTGCTAGCCAGGTGGGGCTTGTCTAGCTCCTTTCTCCAAGTGCCTTCTCCGCCTGCCACAAACAGCTCTAGCGGGCCTTGGGAGACAGGAGGGCCAGGCCTGTTTACACACGCTTATGGAAAACGATCCACTCAGCACTTCAATGACTGTTTACAGTCTCGGAGGGAGATTCCCTCAGAAATCGGAACTCCTCCCTTCCTTGCAATTAAGTGTTGGTTTACACATTATCCCGGACAGCCCCACGCCCCCACCCAGTGCTTAAGTGTCTCTCTTTTCCTCAATGGGGATTGTATCCCAGCGCTCCAGCATCCGTTTAGACAACCAGAGGACCCTCTTCCCAGACTAAGCGTCCTCTCCCACGTTATTCTGGGAACTTCCACGGTACCTGTGTCTGCTTGACAGCTCTATGGGGGAGCTCCCCGAATCTGAGTCCACCTACGTGCAATTTGGGGACCCCCAATATTTCCAGGCTCCTTTGAGGATTCTCCCAGAACGCCTGAAGCCAGTCTGTGTTCACAGAACTCTGACGGTGACCTCGCAGATGTCAGGAATCTAACTAGGCATTCTCCCGGCAGCTTCCTCAGCACTTGGGCATTTCTCCACATGACCCTTGGGGGGACTCTCCCAGAACCCAAGTGTCTATTGGCAAATTCCTAATTCCTAACCCCATATTTATGCCCGCCCCCCGCCCCTCAGAACGTAAGGGCCGATTCACACTATTTTTCTAAGGACTCTCTGACACTCAAACACGTATATTTACAAGTTTGTATATGGGGTACCCTCGCCCCAAGAACTTATGAGTCTATCGATTACTCAGAGGGCATCCCCCATAATTAGGCACCTGCTTGCAAGCCTCTTATGGAGAACCCTACAACTTAAGTTTCTCTTTACACAGTATTTGGAGGACCTCCTGGGCATATAGGGTCTGTTTGCAGACCCTCTGCGAGTGTGTTCCCCAAACTCAAGTTTCCCTTTACACGTTCTCGTTGGGACCTTTGCAATACTTAGACCCTCCCAGAACCCAAGCTCCTATTTACAGATTACTTATCGGTCTCCTCCCCAAGCCCGCAAGCCCGATATTCTAACGGTCGCTCTTCCCTCCCTACGCAAGTTACGCGCACCCGCCAGGCTTCCCAGCGACTGTTTAACGGTCCAAAAGGGGGCGGGGCCCCGAAATGCGCCCCACGCCCCGCCCCCTGCCGGCGCACGAGCCTCTCGCGGGCTTGAAGGACCCTTACCTAAGGCGGCTGCTGATTGGCTCTTGGGGCGCAGCGCTACGCGCGCTTTCCGTGACGGAGCTGGTGGGGGGAGGTTCCACCACAAGCCACGGACCTGTAAATGGCGTCTGGGGGACAAGGAGCGTGGGGTAGACCGAGAGAGCAGGCACCGGTCACTCCGGAACCGTTCTAGGAACCTCGGAAGCGGCCCCCAAGGAACGCGGGGCCGAAAGAGGAAGAGGAGGAAGTAGCGCGGGACGGAGCTTAAAGCAGGATCCGCGGAGTGCCGGCTTTGCGCATGCGCCGAGGGCTGGGCGCGGGAGAACTGAGCGTCAGCCCTGGGCTGAGCATGCGTCGATGGACGTAGCTGGCCTCAGCGCGCATGCGGATGACGGAGGGGAAGGAGGCAGAACTCCGCGGTTCCGCCTTAGTGCGCGTGCGCCTTTGTGGGGCGGCCCCTCTGTGGGAGTATAACTCCGAGGGAGAGAGGGCGGTTACTGGGATAAGTAGGTTCGAGTCCCGCCTCTTCAGTGGCCTACGCTGTATTCAGTGGGGGTGGGGCGGAGGGGAGGAATTTCAAGGTCCTGGGCGGATAAATGAGAACACAGGAATGAATTGAAACTGGCGTGAGCGCTGGAGACTTCCCGCTCTGTAATGGGAGACAGATTAAATCATACATGGAAAGGGCCCAGGTCCGGTTGGACCTTGAAGCACGGCCAAGAGCACTCCAAGCAGAGGGAAAGGTCTAGACGGTCTCGCATTACGAGTTCCCCCGGGGTGGAAGGTGAGGCAGCACCGATGGGTAGCTCAGATTCTGAAGGGATTTCGGGGCAGGGTTTATCGGGAGACGGGGACTGTGGGGAGCCTCGGCGGCCGCCGCAGAAAAGGAGCCCAGGACTAAGAGTCGAAAATTCAAGACTAGCCCGTAGCAGAGGCCCGTGCGCGCCTGAGGGGGGAATACGGGGCTGAGCGCGCAGCCCGCGGAGAGCGCATGCGCAGCGTCTCAGCGCGGGCGGGAGGTTACCTCGGGGAGGAAAGTTCGCTCCAGAGGAGTGTGATTCATATGTCGGCGACTGGGGGGGATTTACCACTTTTCATTTGAAATCTCAAAGCGTTTTCTTATTTCTATTTGAACAGGGAATACAGGTACATTCTGACAGGTTTCAAGCAGCCAATGGGGTACACAATAAAAATAAGTCTCTTACTCTGGTTCCCATATCCCGGTCCTAAAGCACCGGCTCCCAGTATCCTTCTGGAACTACGGTTAAAGTATTGGCGTTAAGAGCTTGAGTTCCCATAAATGGGTGTTCACATATATGGCAGCCGACCTTAACCCTGTCTGCCCGTTTCTAAAATGAAGCTGGCATCAGAGTTAAATGGATGAAAGTTCCCAGAACAGTGCCTAGTGCATAGTAGCTCTGTGTGTCTTGTTTCGTGGTTTACGATGGGAATGATAGTGACTGATTCTGAGCTGCCCTCTCCCCTCCAGGCCTCATCCCTGTGGCCATTTTCTCAGCACCTGTGCCAGGTGGAACTGTTTCCAGGCTGCCACAGGCTGGTTGAAAACACCAGTCACTTAAATCGAGAGCCCTGTATAATGATTCTCCAAAGACTGTGTTTCCCAGAGACACACATGGCAGTCAGGCCGTCTACATTCTGTTAGTCAGTGTCCCTCTTTAGCATCTTCATCTCAGTTAGGTGATTACCAGTTTTTCTTCCTTCCTTCCTTCCTTCCTTTCTTTTTTAAAGATTTTATTTATTTATTTGACAGACAGAGATCACAAGTAGGCAGAGAGAGAGGAAGGCAAGCAGTCTCCCTGCTGAGCAGAGAGCCCAACGCCAGACTTGATCTCAGGACTCTGGGATCATGGCCTGAGCAGAAGGCAGAGGCTTTAACCCACTGAGCCACCCAGGCACCCCCGGTGATTACCAGTCTTTCTTAACGGAATTTCTCAATACCAGAACACCCTCCATGCTGGTTTGACAACTCTGAGCAACCCTCAGGTGGAAATGACTTAAAAAAGGAAAAAGAATGGCCCTGACATTGGGCCTACTGTGTGCCAGGCTGTGTTTTATATACGTCACTACAACCTTTCCCCTCCCCATTTAACAGATGCAGAAAATGAGTCCGAAAGAGAAGGTTCTTACAGAAGTCCACTAGCCAGGAAGCAGCAGGGCCTGGATTCAAATGCAGGCCCGTCTCACCACAGAGAAAGCCCACATTTTTCCCCCTGACAACCGGCAGCCTGCCTAGTAGTGAGTCAGTGGTGCAAACAAGCACCCAGAGACCTGCCTTTTTTATATATTAGTGACATGGTTGTGTGGATGTACCATGCTTTAACCATTTCCCTATTGATAAACATTTAGGCCGTGTCTGAACTTTAGCTCTCACATTTGCTGCAGTTAATATTGTTGTACCTCTGATGGTATGCTTATGGTAGTATTATCAGTGATACCTTGTTTGAAAGTGGAATTGCCGGGTCCGGGCTTGGGAATGTTGAGAGCCATTGCCAAAGGGTCTATTCATTTCTTCATTCACTTCTCTGTTCATTTTATTCATCCATCTACTGAATGAGTTACGGAAGTCTAGTCAGCTGCCGACCATGGCTGTAGGCTAGATATCCTACAGTGAATAGGAGAGAGCAGCTGCCCTCTAACAGCAGATCTTCTAGTAAAGCGGATGGTGTCAGGTAGAAGAGACTTGGAAGGAAAAGTCAGGGTAAGGAAATTTCGAGTGACAGGGGTCAGAGAGTGACAGGTGGTCAGAGAGGGCTCTCTGAAGAGGTGACATTTGAGCAGAGGCCTGAAAAAAGGTAAGGAAATGAGCCATGTGCAGATGCTGAAAAGCAGTCAGTGGAAAGACCCCTGGAGGAAGCAGGAGGGGAGCCAGCTGTTGAGAGATTGTCAAGGTGACCAGGTGACTAGAGCAGAGCCAGGGGAAGAGAGGAAGGATTGTTTAGGAATGGAGCTCTGGAGAGGGGCCAGATTACACAGGGTCTTGTAGGCCACGGTAAGGGCTTTGGAAGTTATTTTCCAAGTGATAGGAAGCCATTGGAGGGCCGCGAGCAAGGACCAGCATGTTGGAAGGTTTGTTGTATGAATATTTCTCTAGTGAACACCCCGAATTAATGACAGTGGTTGCTTGTGGGAAGGAGGGTCATAGACTCGTGGATCAGAGTTGTGAGGGCGACTGCTTAAGACTTCTGCATTTATGAGCCATGTGACTGTTTATGCACAAAATGGTTAAAGCACTGCTGGTTGCTGTGGGGAGGATGGCCTGCAGCTGGGCAGGTGTGGACACAGGCCATGAGGAAACCCATGTCCCTGCCTGGACGGGAGATGATGGTGACTCAGGAAGAGGGTTGTGTGAGAGGAAGCATGAATCAGGGATGACTTAAAAGTTATCCTAAAGGTTTTGGGTTTGACCAACTGGATGAAGAGTGATGCTTTTTTATGAAGATGGGTTAAGAGTCATCTTGATGGGAAACTGACAAGCTTTGAACTTACTCTGAGATACTCACTAGATATCAAGTAAGGAGTGACAGTTTGGGGGAGAAGCTAGGATTTGTAGATACACAGTGTTTACTGACTATGAAATTTTATTTTGTTAAAAAAATTTTTTTTTGCTTTATGAAATTTTAAAAGCAAACACAAAAGTATTGTGGTGTAAAGAATTCTCACATACCCATCACTCAGTATTGATAGTCATTTACGTTCCATTTCTCTTGTTCTATTTTCTCCCTCCCACACATAAGCACAGTTTTTACTTGGAGTTTCCTTACTTTTTTAAAGCAAATCTCAGATGTCCTGTCATTTTATTTTTATTTATTTATTTTCTTTTAAGATTTTATTTATTTATTTGACAGACAGAGATCGCAAGTAGGCAGAGAGGCAGACAGAGAGAGGGGGGGAAGAGGGCTCTCTGCTCAGCAGGGAGCCCGATGTGGGACTTGATTCCAGGACCCTGAGATCATGACCTGAGCCGAAGGCAGAGGCTTAACCCCCTGAGCCACCCAGGCGCCCTGTCCTTTCATTTTATTAGCAGGTCTACCAGTATGCTCCATTTGGAGCTTTTAGTGTGTAGATGGTACTTAAAGCCCTGGGGTTGGCCGAAACCATCCAGGTCAATTGAGTAGACAGAGGAGAGGTTAGGCCCTGGGCCTCCCGCATCTAGGAATCAGGGGGAGGACCAGCACCCCAGAAAGGGGGCTGACAGGGAGTAGGAACGTCAGCAGAAGGGATGACCTGGAGCCAAGGGAACAAAGGGTTCTAAAGAGACAGTGATAAGCTGGGGACCAGAGGTCTGGAGAAGTTGTTAGGGGTAGGCGTGGGGTCCACCATGAAGAAAACATGGCTTTTGGGGCATCTGGGTGGCTCAGTCGGTTAAGCTCTGCCCTCAGCTCAGGTCATGATCCCAGGGCCCTGGCTCCCAGCTCCCTGGGGGGTTCTCCCTCTCCCTCTGTCCCCCCTGCCATTTGTGCTCTCTCTTTCTCACTCTGTGTCTCTCTCAAATAGTAAATAAATAAATATATAATTTTTAAAAAAAATGCTTGCTTTTTTGTCCCTGAGTCTCACTGTTAATGGAAACTTCTCAATATTGTAATACACATTCTGTGAGGAAAAGTTTATGAGTACTTTTCTTTTTTTTAAAATTTAAAGATTTTATTTATTTATTTAACAGAGAGATCACAAGTAGGCAGAGAGGAAGGCAGAGAGAGAGAAGGAAGCAGGCTCCCTGCTGAGCAGAGAGCCCAATGCCATGCGGCTCTATCCCAGGACCCCGAGATCATGACCTGTGCCGAAGGCAGATGCTTAACCGACTGAGCCACCTAGGCGCCCATGAGTACTTTTCCTCAGCTCTTTTTTGGTGAGATGGAGCTTAAGTATGGTCAAGTGCAAAAAGGCACAGACCTTAAGGGTACAGGTCAGTGAATTTTTACAAATCTGTATACTGATCTAATTATTAACTAGGTCAGGGTAGAGGTCATTTGCAGCACCCCAGAAATTTGTTTGGCGCGTTTTCCTGTCCATTCCCCTGCCCCACACTGATCTGATTCTGGTCCTAGACAAGTTCTGGCTGCCCTTGAACTTCAAATAAATGAAATCTTACAGCAGGTCTCCTGTGTGTCTGGTTTCCTTTGCTTTTTATGTCGGTGAAAATCTCCCATGTTGTATGAAACGGTAATTGGTTCTGTAAGAACTTACTTTAAAGGATTTCTACCTCCTGGTTGTTTTTCAATATCTAAAATCTGAATTTGAATCCCAGATGTTTTGTACTTCAGTGAGTACATAGTGAACTTTAAACGTAACACCGGATCTAAGGTGCTAAAAGTTCTAGTGGGGTGTTGTGTTTGTTTTTGTTTTTTTTTAAGATTTTATTTATTTATTTGACAGACAGAGATCACAAGTAGGTAGGGAGGTAGGCAGAGAGAGGGGAGGAACCAGGCTCTCCGTGGAGCAGAGAGCCCAATGCAGGGCTCCATCCCAGGACCCTGGGATCACAACCTGAGTCGAAGGCAGAGGCTTTAACCCACTGAGCCACCCAGGCGCCCCTAGTGGGGTGTTTTTAAGGTGGGAGACGTTTCACTATGCTTCGGAACCGGGTCCTTAAGGAGGTGGGGGGGTTGCTGACAGAGGACAGGCGGAGAGAGGAATTAGACTTGAAGCGAAGAGGGGCCTGTTCACCCTGGTAAAAGAAAAAAGAAAGGAAAGCTGTGCCATCTGACATCCCTCCCAGATTGTCAAACCCGCTCTATTGCATTCTTTGTTGGCAGGTATTCCCCTCAGCATAAAAGCTCAAGATGGGTCCACAGTCTGGTGTTGATGTAAATTGTAGGGCTTCCTTTGTGAACCATAATGAAGAAGTGGGTAAACGCTGGTGACGTTTGTTGTAAGTGGATGGGGCAAGAGGGAGAGGACAGTGGCGGGCAGCTACAGCAAGGAATGTTGGGGAAGAGGAGTCCCTGGCAGGAGCAGCTGTGATACTGTGATTTTTTTTTTAAGATTTTATTTTATTTTAAGATTTCTAGTTATTTATTGGTCAGAGAGAGAGCAGAAGCACGGAGAGCTACAGGCAGAACAGGCAGAGCAGGCAGAGGGAGAAGCAGACTCCCTGTTGAGCAAGGAGCCCGACGTGGCCCTTGATCCCAGGACCCTGGGATCATGACCTGAGCCGAAGGCCCTTAACTGACTGAGCCACGCAGGCGTCCGGATACTGTGATTTGTTTCATGTATTTGGTATGCATCCCATTTCTGGCTCATAGTACCTAAAACCATTGGAATTTTCTGTGGTGAGAGCGGTAGCTGTGTCTTTTGTGATGTTAATGAGGTGGCTTTTGGAAAGTACCTAGGTAACCGAGGGCTGGGGGCTGATTGCCAGGGACCCAACCTTGTGATTAGAGATTAGAATATCCGGTCTGACCCTTGGCCTTCGGGGGCAGGGAGAGGGGTGTTGGAGGTTGAATCAGTTGCCAGTGGCCAGTGATTTCATTAATGATGACCATGTAATGAAGCCTCCATCAAAGGACAACCCCCCCCCCCCCGCCAAAACCAACAAGAGCTTGCGAGAGGTTGCGAGAGCTTGCAGGTTGGTGGACACGTGGAGATGTGGGGAGAGTGGTGCCCCTGGAGAGGGCGTGGTAGCTTCCACCCTTCCCCATACGTTGCCTGGGTGTCTCTTCCCTCTGGCTCTTCCTAAGTTTTATCCTGGCTTATAATAATTATTAATATATGATATATGAGGAATCTGGTAAGTAAAATGTTTCTCTGAGTTCTGAGAGCTGCTGTAGCAAATTAATTCAACCCAAGGGGGCATTTGTTGGAAGCTGCGATCTGTAGCTAGTTGGTCAGAAGCACAGATGTCAACCTGGACTTGCCACTGGCGTCTGAAGATTCAAGGGGGTGCAGTCCTGTAGGACTGAGCTCTTCCCCTGTGGACTTGAACTCTGTCTCCATGTGGACAGTGTAGAACTGAGTTGAAGTGTAGGACACCCAGCCAACGGCTGAGAATTGCTTGGTGTGTGAGGGGGAAACCCACACACTGGAATTGGGTGCAGAATCATTAGCAGCCAGGATGGGGTTGGGGGAGACTGGAAGAGGGGTGGGGTGGACCCTAAACAGCCTGAGACCTGTGGGTATAACACTATGCGATACTATTCGGCAGTGAAAAAGTGACCAGCCTGGATGGAGCTGGTGGCCACTGTGCAGAGCCCAAGAAGCCAGTACACACCAGCATGTAGAGCAGGGTTCAGAGTTGGGCACAAGAGGTCAGGATGGTGGTTACTGGGGATGGAGGAGGGTAGGGAGGGACGGGAGAGCTTTTAGGGGGCCGGAAACTTCTAGCTTGATCTGTGTGGTGGCTGCTTAGGTGAATAAATTCGTAAAAATTCATTGAGGCTGCATTTAAAATGTGTGTGCTTTATGTAAAATGGGTCTCAATAAAAGAAAAAAAAAATGAGCTGAGCCAAGGAGCTAGACTTTGACAGAAGAGCAGGTGGGAGCCACGGAAGAGTTTTGGGCCAGGGCCAGACCCGGTCATATCTGAATGTTGGGAGAGTCCTCAGGGTCTGGTGAGGTGGGTGCATGAGAGGGGCCAGGGTCTGCCTCAGCCTCAGCTCCTGACTGGCTTTTTAGCCCTGGTAAGCCCCCACCCCACCCCTTTCTGGGCCTCTTTTCCCCATCAAGTCCTCTCATGGGCATGGAGGCAAAACAAGCATGGGAGGGAAGAAGCCCAGAGCACAGTGAGACTGAGCCCCTTGACCGAGCTCTCTGGTTCATGCCTACGTCCCAGTCCCCCGTGCAGGGCCTTCAGGAAGTGCGGATTTCATGAGGTGCAGTGCAGAAACTGCTGGGAGGGGGGCCTCAGGACCGATGCCCCGCTGTGGGGAACGGGAGCAGGTAGGCGGGGGCAGATGCAAGATGCTTCAGAGCAAATCTCCCATGTGTTCTCTTAGTTTCTTTCTCACTCTCTCTTTTTTTTTTTTTTAAGATTTTATTTACTTATTTGACAGAGAGAGACACAGCGAGAGAGGGAAACAAGAGGGCGGGGGGTGGGTTGTGGGAGAGGGAGAAGCAGGCTTCCCGCCCACCAGGGAGCCCGCGTGGGACTCGATCTCAGGACTCTGGGATCTTGACCTGAGCCGAAGGCAGATGCTTAATAACTGAGCCACCCAGGCGCCCCATTCTCTTAGTTTCTTAGTGAAGAGCCCCTTCTAACCAGTTCCTACCTCGTCTCAGCAGAAACTACCGTGGTAGAAGGTGAGGAGTTTGGGCCACCCCAGGTCTTCAGCGTTTTCATTCAGTGATCTTCACTGAGGCCCTGCATGTGCCAGCCCTTGACATTGAAAACACAGTAGAGAACAAAAATTAAAATATGGTGCCGTGATCTCTGAGCTAATGAATGGGCCTGCTGGCTACGTGCTAGGGCTCTGGAGCCAAGATGCCTGGGTCAGATCCCAGCCTGGGTCAGATCCCAGCCCTCCCCGCCCCAGTCTATACGGTGACTGTGGGCAGATTTCTTAAATCTCTCTCTGCCTCGGTTACCCCATACATAAAACGAGGCCACAATACCCACTTTGCCTCCTTTTAGAGAATTTATGAGGTCATTTATATATAAAGGGCTGAGCGTGGTGCTGGGCTCAAAAAATATTGTGATAAAGGGGCACCTGGGTGGTTCAGTTCAGTGTCTGCCTTCAGCTCAGGCCCTGTTCCCAGGATCCTGGGATCGAGCCCCACGGTGCGCTCCCTGCTCAGCAGGGGGCCTGCTTCTCCCTCTCCCTTTGCCGTTCCCTCTGCTTATGCTGTCTCTCTCTGCCAAATACATAAAATCTTTTAAAAAAAAAATTGTGATAGAGACAAGATTCACGGGACTGTGAGAACTTCAGAAAGGGCTCCCTAGAGAAGGGGACATCCAAGCTGAGGCCTAAAGGAGTGTGCCGGCGGCGGTGGGGTGTGACCAGGGGGAATAAGTTTGGTAGGAGATTGGCAACACTGCGAGGAGGGCTTCCTGCAGGGGGAGGGTGTTGGAAATGTCATCAGAGATCCCATCTAGTTCCTGTCTCCTCTGCTCCCAGGTGGGCTGGCGTCCAGAGGAAGGGCAGTCTGTGGCAATGGGTGGTGCAAGCCCCAGTTTAGCTCTCAGGGCCGACGCATGAGGCTTGCTGTGGATTTGGAGGGAAATCTAAAGATAGCTCAGCAGAAAAGGATGACTCGAAGCCCGGGCTTCCCCGCAAATCGAAGGAAGCAAGGGTGAATCAGCTTCTCAAAGTAGAATGAAGTGGCTGTGGGAAGTGAAACCTCAGTTGGAAGGCCTCAGTCCAAGGCCACTCTGTCTCTGACTCACCTCAGACAGGGTAGAAGGAGGGCTTAGCGCCAGGGCAGGCAGGCTGTGAATCAGGGGCCTGCAGCCAGATTCCCGGGCTCTAGACCGGGCTCCTCTTGAAAGCTCAGTTTCTGCATCTTTACAATGGGGTGGGGCAGGGCGGGAAGTCGTTGTGGTGAATTACAGAAGCGGGGCACACAGTAGGACCTTCAGAAGTGCCAGCCCCTTCCCTTTTCCTGTCTGAGTCGTAGAGGATAATGAAATAAGTATGTGGGGTGGTTTGGGGTTCTTGTTAGTCTCCTGATGGGTGAGTAGTCATCTAGGTTCTGGTGAGAATGAGTGGGGGAGAGAGGGCAGCAGAAGAAACAGCAGCTGCGTGTTGCGTCTGAAAATCAATAGCAATAATAAAAATGATCAACTGTCTCTTGAGTGTTTGGTTCTTGCTAAATACCCGACCCTCTGTGCCACTCTCTGTTGCCGTCTTCACAGCAGTTCCATGGGAAGGTGGACCCATCTTAGAGGTGAGGTAAATTGTTCAGAGAGGTGAAGCCACTTGCCCAGAGTCACACAGCCAGTGGATGGCAGAGTTAGGCTTTGGACCCTGAACCAAAACCTGGGTTTGAAGCCCTTGCTCTTAGCCTTAGATCTGTGGGGTGGGGGCTGTTGAGGACTTCATGGCCTAGTTGTGGCCTATGGAGCTGGGAGGGGGACTTGGAGTAGGTGTCTGCTTTATAGATTGGGAAATGGACAGGGCAAAGGCCTTATGCTAGATGACCTGCCTGTCGGGAATGTACATATGTTTAGAAAGAAATAGCAGCTTCTTCTGGCTTTGTTGAACATTTATTACAAAGTTAAGAGCAGAGACTGGTGAGCTGTACCCCCCCACCCCCCTTCTCTGCACCAGATACTCTCTGCAGCTCCGGCAAACTGTGTCCTCCTGGACCTCCCGCCAGGGAGCGCTGCCTCCCGCCACCTCAGCCTCAGGCCCGGTTCCATTAGCTCGGCAATTCCGTGGTCACTAAGGCATCCCAGGATCTTGGACTCTGGGCCCCCAGTCCCCTCCTCCTCTGGGACCCAGGAGTCTCAGCCCCCAGGCACCTCCACTTCTAACTGAAAGCTGGAGGTCATCCATAGCAGCATAGTAAGGATGTTTTTGTCCAGGGTATGTGGGATAGTAGTGAGACCATTTCCCTTTTGGGGCAAGGGTTTGGGTGTGTGTGGCCACAGCCTTTCTCCTTGAGCCAGTGTCTCCTCAGTCAGTGAGTGAGACCACCCTAAGGTGGGGCCCCTTTGGTCCTTGCACTTGAGGTGCTTTATTCATAGGGCTGAGTCAGGAGTAGCAGGGACAGTGTCCTCCACCTCAATCCTGGGGAAAGTAGCTTGGTTCTTCCTCCATGGGTCCTGGGGAGACAAGCAGAGAGATGGATAGATGGGCCGGAAACCAGAGGGAGGGAGAGCAAGAGCAGGGACACTGAGGTGGAGACAGACACCAGTGGACTAAGGGGGAAGAAAGAGGGTGGGTGTACCTGCCACCAAGAGACCAGGCATCTGGACAGAAACTAGGAACATGCCCAGGAACAGGCAGACAGACCACGCAAAGGAAGGGAGAGGGTATTGAGGGTCAGCAAAGGGGAGAAAGAATGTCTCCCTCCTCCCAGGACTGCCAGTCCAGCCCCAAACTTGAGTCCTCTCCTCCAGATAGGCAGAGCAGAAGAGAAAGAGTAGCATCATCTCCAAGGCCATGCCCTAGTCCTTTGGCCACAAGAGGTGCTATCTACAGGCACCATTTCTCCAGGATGTTTTTCTGCCCGAGTCCCAGCTGCCTCACCAGCTACGTGGCCTCCTGGCTTGGTTCTGGAAGCTGCCTCGACCCCAGGGCAGTGCTAAGCAGCTCAGTCAGCGTGTCCAGCTTCCCTGCCAGGGCGTCCATCCGCTTCTCCAGGGCCTGATGTGAGCTGCTCAGACCCAGCTGCAAGTCACACAGGATCATGTGCATCTGGGCAGAGAGGGGGAGGTGGGAGGTAGCAGCAGGCCAAGCTAGACTTCCTCCTTATCCCAGCTGCCTGGCTCAGTGCTTTTCACACATGGTTTAAATCCTCTTAAAAGCCTGGGGAGTGAGGATTCCGTTCCCATTTTTACAACTACGGAAATGGGCTTGGAACAGTTAAATGACGTGCCCAAGGTGGCTCCTCCGGTAAGGCCTAGCGTTTGTGGAACTGATGAACGACTTCAGGATCCACATAGCCCTTTCATCAGCTTCTCAGACTAGGAGCCACAGCTTTATCCTCAAGGGTATGAAAGTGTGAGCTTTCTATGAGAATTCTTGACCTCTCAGCTTTTGGCCGGATAATCTTTAGAAATTACGACCTGTCAGTTCTGGCACACGGAGGCCCCTACCTCCTCACTGAGACCTGCCGTGCAGTTTAGGGGCCCTGCATCTGTGACTGCTTGCCATGGCCTTGGTGCCAAGGGCCACTGTTTGAATTGTCTCGGGCTAATGAGAAAAAGCAAAGGCTGCTTAATAAGCAAAAGGTGCTGTGAGTCAAGCCAAGGGGTGTGACGTTACCATCCCCAAGCTCCGGCCGAATCCGGTGGTCCCAGCCGGAGAACGGCAAGCGGAGTCAGCCCCGTGGCCCTGGGCCCCTCTTCGCAATAGCAGCAGAGATGGCCTTTTACTGGAACAATGTGCCCTGTCTGTGTCAGATTTGTTCATTTGTGTTTTATTGGTCTTGCCATTTGTGTTTGAACTTGGTTTGTATATTTGCTTTGGTTTTATTGCTGTCTAAGAGTCATAGTTGGAAGGAATTTTGTATCCGTCCGCATTAACTCGACAATAAAAATAATGTAAAACCAAACACTAAAGTTCTTTGTGCGATTTCTTTTTCTAAGGTTAAAAGGGATCGGTCCCCTCCATGAGTTTAAGAAACTGTCATACCATTCATTCAACCACAAACCTTTGTTGAATGTGTGTGTGTTTGCCAGACCCCTGCCAGTGTTCATTATGCTGGGGCTGGATGTCCCTGCCAGCTGCCCTGGCCTCCCTTTTCTTCCAGGCCCTTCCTCCCACAGGGTCCTGGTACCTTGGAGATGTCCACCATGGAGTTCACTTGTTCCCGGAGCTTTCTGTGTTTCAGTCGTACCTGGCGGAACCTGTGGGAAGAAGCCGGAGGTCAGAAGTGATCCCAGCTTGGGGATGGGCTAAGCGGAGGACAGACTCACATAGATGTGGTCCAGTGAGGAAGGGTTGCCAGAGCTGAAACCCCCCTAAGCCCATCTCTTAGGTAGCGCCCCAGGTATCCTGACTGCCCCCCCCATACAGATTGGCACAGACCCACAGACACAGACGCGCAGGACAAGCCATCACAGAGTCACCGTGAGGTCTAGGTGGACATCTGTTCAGCGGGCCTGCACGCCGGTGGCCCAGCCTGGCTGCACACGCACATTCGTTGCCACACACCATGTGGAAGGGAGGAGATGCAAACAGAGGGAGGCCCTCACCTGTTGATGGCAGCCAGCAGCCTGCGCTGGTGCCTGCGGGCAGCCCCGCGCTCCTTCCTGCGTGTGTGTTTGTAAAACATCCAGGCCTCTTGCAGCACTCGGGCAGCTGATTCCTTCATCTGGGGGTGGGCACAGTGTCAGTGGAGGCAGACCCCTAGGGCTCTGGGAGGAGGAGGGGGTGGCGTCTGGACTCCTGGGTCTGAGGGAGGCGTGTGCCGTGGGTGCCATATGCCCATCCTCACCTCTTTGGCGTACTGGATGTCCATCATGAAGTTGTGCACGTGCTTCTCTGCCTTATTAAACTCCAGCTTCCGGGCCACCACGGCCACCAGCAGGGCTGTGCAGCAAACCCCCTGTGGGCACAGCAGACACTATGACGGAGGGCGGAGGGGCTCCGGGGCCACCAGACTCCCTCCTAGAACCCTCCCAACAGCCACAGAAGGCAGGCCAGACCACCCCCGGTGGACAGATGAACAGGCCCAGAGAGGGGAATTGGGGTCCCACACACCCCGAGGGGGTGGAGCCAGGATCAGAGGTCATGTGTCTGAGTCCCACTTGTGGGTGTAGTGTTTATACCACCAGAATGCTCTTTTTTTTTTTTTTTTTGGTTTTTTAAAATTTATTTATTTGACAGAGAGAGAGAGAGATCACAAGCAGGCAGAGAGGCAGGCAGAGAGAGAGAGGAGGAAGCAGGCTCCCCACTGAGCAGAGATCCCGATGCGGGGCTCGATCCCAGGACCCTGAGATCATGACCTGAGCTGAAGGCAGAGGCTTTAACCCACTGAGCCACCCAGGCGCCCCCAGAATGCTCTTTTGTTAAAGGTATGATTGGAGAAGGGGAGAAGGGCTGATCTTGGGTGAGAGGTAGAGCTTGGGCTTCTTCGGGAGCCCTTCCTCCCCACTGCTCACAGCCAGTTAGCCATCAGGTCACCAAAGGTGTCCCTCCCCATCCTTCCACCCCTGTGGCTCCTGGCCACTTCTGGCCCCGTCCTTTCCCTCCTGGACCATCTCCCGGATGACCCGGATGACCCGGACCTGAGGGAGATCTAACATTATGACCCTGCCCCTTTACCCTACTGCCCCAAACTTCTTACCCTCACTTTCAGAGCCTTCAGACAACTCAGACAACTCAGCCTGACCTCAATCTGCCGTAGCTTCCCGAGCATCTTGGTCTGAACACTCCCTGCTTCTCCCAAGACCTCTGGCCGCCAGCTGCTTGGCGGTACCTGCTGTCTTCCCTGAGTTACAGTGAATTTTCTTCTGACGTCTTCCCCTTCCCCAAGATGTGTCTCAGCTCAAGAACACTCTGAACAATTTACTGGTTATAAACACTGGTTCCAGGAACACTTGTGTCCCAAGCCCAGCTCTGAGCACGTTACTTAATGTCTCAGGGGCTCACTTTCTTCCCTATAAAATGGGCATGCCCTCACAGTATTACTCTGTGGGTTCCTTAAGTGAACACCTGGAAAGGGTTCAGCGCAGAGGCTGGCACAGAGTCTGTACTTGATAAAGTTACTTGTGATTATCCCATTGTGTCAGGGAACCTCCCTGCCAGGAACTGAGCTGTGAGCTCAAGTGCAAATTGCCTGATCTCTCTAGGTCTGTTTCTCCTTGTGTCAAATGCGGGAGGAGGTCCCAGGCAGCCCCGAGGATCCCTGACCCTTTGGGAGTGTTTTCCTGGCTGAATCTCTGCCCCTCTTTCTTGGTCCCAAAGACTCACTCCTTTGGGGAGGGGATCACACTTTCCCATTACCCCATCCATGACCAGTGGAAATGTAGCATATCTTTTCTGGGACAGCATCAGGACTGGGGGCCGGCAGCCCTCGGTAGGCAGAGCCAAATCGCAAGGGGAGGTGAAGGCCAAGGCTTTGGTGCTGGGTCCTGGACGAGGATAGGCACTAGGAAGGGGGAGCTGGATGCCTGGGTCTATGAAGGGAAGGTGGTAGATGTCTGGTTTCAGGAGGAGACTAACTCTGGGGAGCCTCCGCCTCATCCTTGACGTGAGCTAGGGTGGGCAGCTGGATGCTTGCGACCAGTTACAAATGACAGCCTTCCCACCCCCACCCCTTGACCCATTTGCCAAGCATTTCCTATGTGCTGGGTGCTGAGACCCTATGTGTGGTTTAACTCATCTCAGGAACCCCATGAGGAATACATTAGTATCAGCATCCCCTTTTTATTATAGGCTTGATCCCAGCTTGGAAGTGGCAGAAGCAGGATCTGAAGACAGGCAGAATGACCCCACAAGCAGGCTTTGGATGAAGCCCTAATGGAGGCTGGAGACTAGATTCCTGTGTCCTGGATAAGCTGGGAAACCAAGGGCCTGTGTCCTAGACTGAGAGGGTAAGGGGGTGAGGAGGAGGATGTCTGAGCCTTCATGAGGCTCAGGGTGGATTCCTGGATTCTGGAAGGAAATGGGGCTGGGAAGTCAGGGGCCTATGTTTTCCAGGATGGTGAGTTCTAGGGTCCTAAATTCCAAGGAGAACAAGGATTTAGGGGATGGGTTCTTGGATTTTGAAAGGAAATGGGGCTGTGGGTGTCCAGATACCCAAGTTCCTTGGGGGTGGTGTCCTTGAGTCCCTTTGTTGGCTCCATGATTTCTTTGGGCCCAAGAGATACACAGTTGGGGGTAGGGGTAGGGTCCTGTAGGGGCTGTACTCACCATGACTCCAGTGCAGAGACAAACAATCTTGCCCCACATGGTGCCTGGCACCACGTCTCCATAGCCAATGGTCAGGAATGTGATGGGGATCAGCCACAGTGTGTCTGAAAGGTGTCCGGTGGCATTAACGGCCTGCCTGTGGGGAAGGAGGGGTTAGTTCTAAAACCCTACCCCAGGGCTTCCCTTGATGTCTGATATTCTCCTTCCTAACACACCCACAGTCCCCAGAAGCATTCAGAGAAAAAGTCTGTAAATTCTGGGCTTTGGAGAGCCTGCCTGGCTTCCTCTCTGCTATGCGAGCTGGGCAAGATATGCTCAGCCTTTCTGGGCTGTGGCATTTGAACCTGGATCCAGCCAATTCCAAGGCTTGTTTGGTTTTCGTTAGGCTACCAGGACTGCTGCTTTCTGAGCAGGTTGAGAGGTTGAGAGGTGACAGAAACCCAGCCCAGAGTCCTCTTGTCACACCCTGGCAGGGATCTGCATACACACAGAGGAAGGGGTGATTTTTTTCTCTTTTCTCTTCTCTTCTCTTCTTTTCTCTCTCTCTCTCTCTCTTTCTTTCAGATTTTATTATTTTTTTAAATTAACCTCTACACCCAGTGTGGGGTTCAAACTCACAACCCCAAGATCAGGATTCATATACTCCACCAACTGAGCCAGCCAGGCACCCCAGAGGTGCCTTTTTCTAATGTTCATAAAGATGCTTTATGGCCTACAGATGGTCCTGTCAAGACTAAAAAGGCAGGATCCTGCCCTCCCTTCCCCCCACTTCATAGAAGGGGACGTTTAATTTGAGCCATGGAAGGGACTGAAAATCCTGATTTGTCTAAACTTGAGCCCACAGACCCCTTGTATAAGGGTCAGCAAGGAACGCTTCATTCGTGAGGCCCAAGACATGTCAGACCCACTACTCTAGTGTTTGGATGTAGGGACTGAATTTGCACTGTTAAGCCCTACTCCCCTCATCTGGAAGTACATTCAAGTTTGAGGACTTCTGCCCTGGGGTTGAGAAATTTGACCCCCCTTACCCACCCTCCCATTTTTCAGATGAGAAACATGGTGGCAGGAAAACAGAGCCTACAAGATGTATCAGTTAAAAATCCTGAAAGAGGGGTGCCTGGGTGGCTCAGCGGGTTAAAGCCTCTGCCTTCAGCTCAGGTCATGATCCCAGGGTCCTAGGATCGAGCCCCCGCATCAGGCTCTCTGCTCTGCTCTGTGGGGAACCTGCTTCCCTCTCTCTCTCTGCCTGCCTCTCTGCCTACTTGTGATCTCTGTCTGTCAAATAAATAAAATCTTTAAAAAAAAAATCCTCAAAGATTAGAATTGCTGGGGAGACTTCAAAGATGGTAAAATTTCACACCCATTTCACAGATGAGGAAACAGAGGGTCAGAGAGAAAGGATCTAAAGCCAGTGCTTGTCTTTCCCCACCTCCCCTCAAGAATCCTTTCCCAGGGGTGCCTGGGTGGCTCAGTGGGTTAAAGCCTCTGCCTTTGGCTCAGGTCATGGTCCCGAGGTCCTGAGATCGAGCCCTACATCGGGCTCTCTGCTCAGCAGGGGGCCTGCTTCCTCCTCTCTCTCTCTCTCTCTCTCTCTCTCTCTCTCTCTGCCTGCTTGTGATCTCTATCAAATAAATAAAAAAAATCTTTAAAAAAAAAAAAAAAGAATCCTTTGCCAGATGTACTAAACCAGAGGTCCCGAACTTGAGCCGGGGTCAGAATGCCTTGTTAAAACAGACTGCTTGGCCCCCACCTGCCAGAGTTTTGGATTTGTTAGGTGTGGGTAGGGCCTGAGAACTTGGGTTTGCAGCAGGCTCCCAGGTGACACTGCCAGTTCTGGAACCACACCTTAGGACCAACTGGCTAAGATTAATGTCACTTTCTTTATCTGTAAGAGAGAGGACCTGAGGTCCAGCCTGCAGTGTGTCCAGTAGGCGGCCTGGAATCCTCCATCCATTCCCTGCAGGAAATTCCCTTCCAGAGCAGCCCCAAATCACCACCGTCCCAGGATGGCGGGGAGCACCCCAGTGCATCTGTGCTAATTCAGAAAAGGTGTCCATACCCTCCAAGGAGGCAGTTGCAACCTTTGGCCAGGCCCCAGTACCTGGGTTTAGAGACTGAACAGGTGCCCGGAGACCTAAGACAGGACAGGTGTGGAAGCGGGGAAGGAAGGGCTTGCTGGGGTCTGTGTGTGTCTGGGGAGACTGGAGGCTGCAGGCGGAGGAAGGGCGGGAGCTGGCCCGTTGGTTCCTCCCTGCCGAGTGGATGAGTGCGGACCCCGGAGGGCAGCTGGGGCTGTGAGCGGCTTCTCCAGATGCTCTAAGTCCCCCCACCCTTCACCGCAGCACCCTCACCTCTCAGCCACCGACAGCACCCAGGCGGTGGTGAGCCAGAGGCCAAGCGTGAGGCAGAGCAGCAGGCGACCGGGGTGCGTGTTCATGTACAGCTTGGCCACGAACCAGTGGCGGAAGCGGACCTGGTTGAGGGCGCCGATGCTGCGGTAGGACGCGTTGAGCAAGACGCCGCTGCGCAGGAGGACCGCGCGGGGCACCAGGTAGAGGCGCAGCAGCATGGCCAGCGACAGCAGCGCCTCGCCCTCATCCAGGAAGCCCGGCCAGGACTGCGTTGCCGCCGCCGTGGGCCCGGACCCCAAACCCTGGGCGCACGGCGGACCCTGCACCGGCGCGGGATGCAGCGCGCACACAGCCAGCTCCAGCACGATCTGCGCCGCCTGCCGCCCGGTCAGCGCCACGCGCCAGTCCCGGAGCCCGTTGTCGGTCATGAACAACTGCGGGGAAGGGACAGACGGGGGAGGGGGTCACAAGAAGGTCAGGTGGCCGCCCGCCTGCCAGAACCAGGAGATAAGGGGGGCCGCCTACCAGGGTCAGGATGGGTGGGGTTGGGGAGGGTGGGGAAGGAGTGGGGCAGGACCTTGAGGAGGACCTCTCTCCACTTTCTTCCTAACGCCCTCCCCCTCGGTTTCGGCCCGCTTCCAGAATTTCCTGTGTACCCCCACATTGTTCTATATATTGAAGGTACCGGTGCACAGAGCAGAAAGCCCTGCCTCCTGGGAGCCTACAGTCCTGATGCACGGAGCCACCTCCTCCTGTTTCTGGGGCCCGGGGAGTAATTAACTGAAAACCACGCCCCATAGCCAACATTTACAGGGCACTTTGAATGGGCCAGGCACTGCTCTATCTGCTTTACATGTTATGACTCAGGGAATGCTCCCAACACAGTGAAATTGAAAGCATTTTACCCCCATTTTACAGGTGCAGAAACTCAGGCCCTGGTCTTTCAGCTGTGGCGGCACAGCTGAGCTACAAATCCAGGCCACTTAACTGTTTGACTAGTGATGATAATGTGTACTTTCTACTGAGCAGGTGCCACAGGGGGGAATGACTACACATGATGGATAACCCCCATTTTATATACAGAGGTTTGGGGGGAAGGGGTAGAGGTAACAGGATCTAGGGATGTGGGGGATGGGATGAGGGGAGGGCGCTGGTGGAGAGTTGAGCGCCAGGATGAGACCGGACGTGGGAGTGGGGTGATGGGTGGAACACCCCCCCACCCCTGGAGTCTAGGGGGTAATTGGCACAGAGGTGGGGAGCTCAGGAGTGGGGAAGGACCCTCAGGCACATAGCCTGGATTTCAGGTTACTTGGAACTGGAGTAGGTGGGGCCCCGGACATGGAGGACAGAGATCTGGGGGGCTGGGCCTGGAGTGAGGCTGCCTGTGGGTGGGAGCTCTCAGCATCCATGGGCATGCAAGGGGGGACAGAGCTGCAGGGGTGCATGGGACTGGGTTGCTCCAGGAGGCTCGGTCTGTCTATCTGTGGTTCTTCTCATCTCGGTGGGTGAGGGTGTGGACAAATCTCAGGGTGGAGAAACCTCATTACTCAGACCAGGAGGAGGAGGAGGGTGGAAAGTGTGAGCTGACAGGGAGCCATGGGGGCTGGGGGGGAGTAAGGAAGGGGCCCAGGGGTGGGGCCTGCCCTACCTGGACCTCTTTGGCGTGAAATGCCACGATAAGACAAAGGAGCAAGAAGGTGGAAATGCTGATGGTGCATTTAACCAGGAACAGGTAGAGCGCCCACTGTTGGAAGGGACAGAAAAAGGGGTAAGATTCTAGGTTTCCAACTGGTCAGTCCCCTCTACCTTCCTCCCATAATGCCATCCCTTCTCAATTCCCAATTTCCTGGCCTCCGCCACCCATTCCTCCCTGCCTGTCCTCCCCCCACCCCCGTCCCCGCAAAACCTGATTCCACCCAGTGTCTCAGTTTTGGGGAACTCTCAAAACCATCTGGTCCCCAAGGAAAGTGGTCTCTTCCTTCCCAGCCTGACAGCCCCGGCTCAGATGCCGGTGTGTACCCTCCTCTTCAGCCTTTCTCATGGGATCCACACCTGAGGGGAGACCTTATAGCTCACAGCCCTTTTTAATTCCCCCATCCCCTCCCCCACCAAAAATAGTTCCTCAGTTAGGGGGTGGGGGAGTGGGGAGGTCTAGAAACAGACATCTGGCCTCCAGAAAGTTCCCCCGCCCTTCCCTGACCACACAGCTGGTCCAACCCTAGAAAGCAACCTGCCTTAGAAGATCCTACCACCTTCCCAATTCCCCAAGAAACCTAGAAATGATCACCCAATACTCAAGAATGAATGACACCCTCCCACCCCCCACCCCATCCAGGTCACTGGGTCCCCGAGACCCCAGTCCCAGCTCTGAGGAACGCCCCTGGGTCCTGGCCCCTGCATCTCCTTCCCCCTGCCCTCTCTCCTGGCTCTAAGCCCAGGGCAGATCTGGCCGGAAGCACATGGCCTCCAGAAACCACGGAGAGACTTTTTTTTCCTCTCTCTTTGTGTGGCAATACCTTGGAGAGATCTAGAATTCTGGAAGAAGAGGTTTAGGGGGGCCTGGGACTGCTGGATCCCCAGGAGGAGTGGGGAGGGGTCCCTGCCTGACAAATGTTGTGGGGGAGGGGGATCCACCTGGGCTCCCCTGCTGAGCTCAGCACCTGTTTCTCCGAAGATGTCTGCCAGCTCCCGCAGCGGGCCAGGGCCCCACCTCTGTGCAGGGGAAGAGGGCCAATTTCCTGCCCCAGGGGACCTGCCCCCCCCAACCCTCCCCAAACAATGGTGCTGTTGTTCTTAGCCCTCCCCTACCCCCTTATCCTCCTAAGGCTCCCTGGTTCCCTGTCCCTTTCTTTAGTTTGTCACAAACTCCACTCCGCTAGACACAGCCCCTGCCCACACGGCACCCCACTTCTACTTTGCTGGTTCCTCTTCCCCCAAACCCCTGACTCAGTCTCTGAAATTTCCCTGTCTCTGGGGATGCTTCTGTTTCGATCTCTGTTTATGTCTGAGGGTCTCCGTTTCTGTCAGACTTTCCATCTTTCTGTGTGTATCTCAACTTGGGGAACTCTGTCTTTCACTGTCTCTTACTGCATCATTGTCTCTGTCTCACACTGCCTTTGTCTCTCAATGTCTCTGTCTCTCAGTCTCAGTCTCTCTCCACCCCTCCTCCTGCTGATTTCAACAGCTTGTTCCCCTGCACTTCCCCAGCTGGGCACCTGCCTCTCCTTCAGCCCCTCCCCACTGGGGAGCAGGTGTCTGGGTCCCTGCAAAATGGGCTCCTAAGACTGAGATGGCGGTGGAGAGGAGGCATGGATGTTGTCAAGGCCCAAGTAGAAAGGGGGCTGAGGAGGACCCTTAGGACCACCTATCTCAACCCTTACCCCCAGTTTACAGATGGGGAAACTGAGGCCCAGAAAGCTGCAGCAGCTTTCCTAGAGTCCAGCTGCTGGAGACAGCAGACTGGCAAATGGCAGAGGGAAGGAAGAAATGAGAGGTGAGAAGGGGGAGAGAGGGAGTAAGGAAGGAAAGACCCCCTGTCCCTTTCCATCTGCAGGGAGCTCAGGCCCCACCTCCCCTGCTGGGTGGGGTTCTGAAGCGTGGGAGCGGCGGGTAGGCCCTGGCCATGCTTCCTGTTGGCATGGGCTTCCGTAGCCCCACCCCCCCGTGCCCGCTGCCCTGGCCTCGGCTCCCAGGACAGAGGAAGCTGGGCTGCCCTGACCCTCCATGTGGCTCCTGGTCACTTTGGAACTGCGCTCCTCTGCCACCACCCCCAAATCCAAGCCTGAACCTCCCTCCTCCAGGAATGCCCCCCAACCCAGTCCTCACGTCAGCCTCCCCAGCCAGCCCAACTCCACATCCCTTACCCTAGACAGTTCTCCAACCCCTCCTTTCCGGTTAAGCAACTCTGTTCTGTCCTTAAACCACTGATTCTGACCCCTGTCCTCTATCTGCCCCATCGCTGCCCAGACTGAGGCTGGAATGTGCCGAGAGCCTGCTCAGACCTGTCCTGGCCCCACCTGTCCTTTTCCTCCCCACCGACTCTATCAGGCCCCCCTTCCCCCAAAGACGCTCTAAGCCTCCTTCAGACCCAGGAGCCTGGGCTCCCTGCCCCCTCCCCTGGGACCTAGGAGCCCAAGACACTGTACACCTACTTCTCCATTATGCCCCAGAATAGCATGCAGACCCTGGGGAGGCTGGGACTGATGCACATGGGAGGGGCAGGGGGCTGTTTCCCATTTCCCACCCCCACCCCAGCCAGTTTTTTTGGTCTCTGCCCTCTGCTGGGGAGGCACTGGGTAAACCTGCGTTTAGATAAGGACCAAGGAGCCGCCACCTAGTTGGAAGAAGTTAGCCTTTCTCCCCACCCTTCCTTCACTGAACCTGAGGCTACCCCTCCCCTGATCTCTTCTTGGGAGACTGGAGGATCTGGTCAGCCACCCCCTGACCTCAAGGGGTCTCGGGCTTCCAGGTGTCCCATACAAACCTTCAAAGACTGAGACACTGAGACCCATGTTCCCTTCTTTTTGCAGAGAGAGCCCTGAACATTTATCTCCCTTGGGCCCCAGGAGTCCAGACCCTCAGCCCCCTCCTCCTTCAGACCCAGGAGTCCAGAACCCTAGCTCCTCCTCCCTCAGAGTTAGGGGTTCAGGTCCCCGGGTCCTCCCCTCTCAGACTTAGGACTCCAGCCCCTCCTCCCTCACACGTAGGGTCCTGACCACCAGTCCCTCCTCCCTCAGACCCAGGAGTCTCAGCCCCCAGCCTCCCGTGGCCCAGGATAAGAGCTCCACTCACCGGGCACCCTCCGAACCACAGCATCTCCGCGTGCAGCACCATGAGTCCAATGCCAACTCCCGCCAGCGCTAGCGCCCAGCCAGCCAGCCACTTCTCCTGCTCCAGCAGCCGCTTTCGCCGCTGTAGGGCCCCCAGGCCTGGCACCAGCTCCCCGCCCATGGCCCCTGCGGTCTTGGGGCTCAGCCAGCTTCCTGCCCAGGGTCCCCCACCTCGCAGCACACAAAGGGCAGCCACTGTGGCTTGCAGGTCCTCGGCCTGCTCTGCTCCTCGCTCTGGGGCTCTTGCTTTGAGGCACAGAGGAGTCTGTGCCCTCTGGGGGTGGTGACGGCTGGGCAGGGCAGGGAGGGGCCGGCATGGCCCTTGGGCAGAGGGAAGGCTCCCCAACCACCCTTCGCAGCCTGAGGAGGGACTGGGGTGTGTCTTGGGGCAGAGCAAGGAAGAGGCGTGCATCCACGTGGATGAAGACACATACTGGCACACAATAGATTGTGTCACACAAAACGGTCTGCCCTCTGTAACACACACCTAAACTCAGCCACACCCAGACACCACAAGACACCCGGTGACAAACCCTCACACACACCACGGCCGGAGACGGGACCGAACACACATGGGGCACACACCACAACCTACAGTGAGTGACTCACAACTCCCTGATGAGCTCTGCAGCCCACAGCCACACCCAGACACCACACAGATGGTGTGACACACGCCGGCACTCAGCACGGCAGGCAGTGCCCTGTGGCTCCCGTGACCACCCAAACCGTTCACACACAGGCACAGAAAACTGCAATCGAAACTGGGACAACATCCTCTTGCCCAGACAGTCACCCCCAGGCTCTCTTGCTCCATTAGCACAACATACACCAACGGTTCCTGACACACATCAGGTTACTGAGTCACACCCACGTGCCGCACTCAACATCCCTGTGTGAACCATGTGCTAACGGCGTCCCAGACGTGATACACCTGTGCACTGGCACCCAACACGTGTGGACACACAACATTTGGGGACACACCACGGCAGTCCTCAGGCCCCCAGCACACAGTGAAACACACGCGGATGGCATGTGACAGGTCACACTCGCACAACGATCCACACCCAGACTCACCAGGACATACAACACGCCCCAGCGCCCAGAGCCATTCAAACGTGTGGTCAGAACAGTGGGAACGGACACGTGTAGAGACCCGCAGTGCACAGCGACACACACAGAAACCCAAACAGCCCAGGATAGGTTTTGGTGCCTCACAGGGACACGACCTAGAATAGTAGCCCTGGGGGTGAAGGTGGGGGGCGGGGCCCCTGACATGGAAATGCAGCATCGCCTCTGACTGACAAGCTACAAATGGCACACCATATACTCCAACACACGTGGCCACACAAACACCGAGTGACACAAAACATGCTGCCATAGTATTTCCCAACACTACCTTTTGTGAACACCCTGGATCACGTAAAACATCAGGGGGACCCACTGACACAGCTGACACCGAAGCCTGCGACAACACCACACGCCACACCAGGGGCTACCCTCCGCTGCGGCGCACTACACAGCCACACAAACACAGCACACTCTGAGTGTGGGCACCCAGGCTGTGTTCTCGGCAGGGAAAGGAGAGCCCGCCCCAAATGGACACAGCCCTGGGCGCGACCCATAGGGTCACATCTCTGACTGACAGCTCACCTTTGCACCAAAAAGCCATGTAACAGAGACACAACACACAGTGACGGACAGAACAGCAAATGCAGTACAGGGTGACTCCCGGAGGGACACGCGGTGTGCTGGAATGTCACTGCGTGCAGCCGTGCCGGAGAAGCACACGGGTCTGTGTGCCATACATGGGGACACAGACCCAAACTCTGGGGAGATGCCGGCCGGGTTACACTAAACACCTCGCACACACTGACCTCTGAGACGCAGCCAGTAGCCAGGCAGGCACCACTCTAGAGGGAGCTCACAGACACGACCCCTCTCCCTCCCGTGTCAGATGTCAGGCAGGAACACGGACCCGCCAGCCACAGGGAAACGAGACACTCACGCACAGACATGTCTGGCAATGCACCAACACAGCCCACGCAGACACACCCGGAGACACCAAACCGCGCACACACACAGACACGCCTGGTGACAAAAACACAACCCGTGCTGGTGCCCCGCCCGGTCCGTGGCACCCATGTGATTCCCAGTCTGGGTAGAGACATGCGGGAGAGTGATGGAGACACACCCGGGCACACCCAGACACACCCAGACACCATGCGCGTGCCCGGGGGGAGAAAACGCTGCTGCCGGCACCGTGGAGGCTGCGGCCGGGATGCCCCCCAGCTACCCGCCACCCCTGTGGCCTGGCTCTGGTCTCTCTGCACCTCTCAGGTTCTTGGGCCTTACCTAGGAATGCTCCCTCAGTCTCTCCTGCTCTAGAAGCCGCTGGGTCTGTGCTGTCTTTATCTCTGTCTCTGCCTTTCCCTGTCTCTCTTGTTCTCTCCCCCATTCCTTGACCTCTGTCTCTTCTGGCTCTGTCTCTCAGTATCTCTGACTCTCTCAGTATCTCTTCTCTCTCTCTCTCTCTGTCTCTTAGCCTCTTTGTGTCTCTGTGTCTCTCTTAGCATCTCTATCTCTGTCTCCATCTTTGTGTCCCTGTTTTCTATTTCATCCCCTCTCCTTGTCACTGTCTCTCTGTCTCCATCTCTGTCTGTGCTCTCTGTGTCCCTGCCTTTTGCTGACTCTAGGTCTCTCTATCTCTGCCTGTGACTCAGTTTCTCCGTCTCCATCTCCCTGCCTCCAGACCTCCCTTTGGACCTCTCTCTCTGGTTCTGCCTCTCTCTCTGGACCCCTCCATGCTTGTCTCTGCCTCAGCTGCTCTCTTCCATCCACCAGCACAGCCGGGGACAGCCGTACCCTTTCTGGTTCCACCAGCCCCACTCAGAGGCAGGAGGCCAGAGACACAGGCTGCCGCTGCCCGAGTCGGAGGCCTCGAAACGGAGACTTCCAGTCACAGCCCCTGTGCCACCATGCCTCAGTGCGGGCCCTAGTGAAAACTGATGGGGTGGGGGGAACAACCAGAGAGACTCCGAGGGGTGCAGCCAGGCGGGGAGAAGGAAGAGGAGGAGAGAATTTGAAAAAATCGAAGAGGTGGAGAGAAGAGGTGAAGGGAAAGCAGGCGCCGGGATCAGGACAGGGAAGTTAGAGCAGACAGAAGTTTTGTCTCCAAAGAGACCACAACTAAGAGAGAAAAACGGAGCGAAGGCTGGCCATGGGAGAGGCCAGGGTGGGCAGCAATGGGGTCACAGTGGGAAAGGCACTTGCCTCCAAACGGAAGTTCTGGGATGTGGGGGTCAGTCGGTAGGACACACCGCTCCAGAACCAGCTCCCTCCAGCCCAGGGAGGGGCTGAGCCAGGGGGTGGGGGTGACTCAGGGCCCCAGAGCTTCCTGTGACTCAGCCCTTGGTCCCAACCCTGAAGGGGGGAGTGAAGAGGGAGAGGGGTCTCTGTAAAAGAGAGGGAGGAGGAACACCAGAGGACCTCTCTGCCTAGGTTGCCCCCCTCAGAGGAGGGGGTGGGCTGCTGCATGAGACTTTGAGGGGAGGAGGGGACTGGGGGTGTGGACTCCTGGGTCTGAGGGAGGAGGGGCTGGAGAACTGGATCTCGGGGTCTGAGGTAGGAGGGGGTGGGGGTATGGACTCCTGGGTCTGAGGGAGGAGGGGCTGGAGGCCTGGACTCCTGGGTCTGAGGGATAGGGGGTTGGGGCCTATACTCCTGGGTCTGAGAGAGGAGAGGGTAAGGGGAAGGACTCTGGGTCGGAGGGAGGAGGGGCTGGGGGGGTTTGAGGGGGCTGGGGCTGGATCACATTCTCCTGGTCCAGGAAGGCTAGAAGAACTGATTCCAAAGTCCCTGGGACTTTTCGTTGGCCTGGTCCCAGCTGCCCCACCTTCATCCCAGCCCCATCTCCGGGCCTGGAAAGGACCCAGGTGCCTTGGGGCCCAGCCGGAAGGGGCTAAGGACAAAGAGTTGTTTAACTGGGCAGGGTGGTGGAGGGGAGAGAAGAGGGTGTCTCAGGCGGAAAGGTCACTCGTCGCCCCGGGCTTGTGCAGGGAAAGGCGGGGCTGCGCCAGGAGGAAGACATCCTTCATGAAAGTCAGAGACTTGTGGAGGCAAATCCACCACGGCTGGTCTTTTTGATTTAGGCATTTGGAGGTTTCAGGGCATGGGATACTGCCACCTAACGGTGGCTTTGGGAACTGTAGGCACCTGCTTGTCCAGGCTAGTTTCCTGTCTGCATATATTGAGCACCGATTAAGTGCCATGTCCTGATGTAAGTATCGAGGGTGTAGTAAAAACAAAACAGACAAAATCCCTGCCCTCATGGAACTTCCATGCTAAAGAAAGTTTTGTGGTTCCGTCAATCTCTCTCACTCTGTCTGAGTCTTTGCTTCTATCTCACTGGCCTATATCCTGGTCTTTGTCTTCAAGTCCATGCGTTTTTCTTTTTTCCTTTTTGTTTCTCTCTGTTTCTGTTTACTTTATCCTTTACATATCTCTATTCACCACCAATTAAAAATGAGGTATATTAAGTTCAATTAGCTAACATGTATTACATCATTAAAAATTATGTATATTATTTTAAGACATATATAAAATTAAATTATAAATTGTATGTAACTAAATAATTACATCTCACAATTTGGGACTCCACAGACCTTGGTTCAAATCTTGCCATGGCCACTGACTATTTTTGTGTGGAATATAGCACACGTACAGCCTGGGTTAGGGATGGACCTGTATTCACGTCTAGCTCTGCGATCTTAGCTGTGTGTCCTGCAAAATGGGGATGATACCCATATCACAGGGATGCTTGAGAATTAGATGAATATCCACAGTCCTCAAGACAGGACCTGGTGTATATTTTGTTGTTGTTGTTTTTAGAGGGAGGAGGGGCAGAATGAGAGAGAGAATCTTAAGCAAATGCCACGCCTAGTGTGGAGGGGGCTTCATCTCAGGACCCTGATGAGATCATGACCTGAGCTGAAATCAAGACTTGGACGCTTAACTGACTAAGCCACCCAGGCCCCCCCTGGAGCTGGTATATGATAAGCACTTGGGGTACATTGTCTCTAAAACTGGCTGCCAGTGTCTCCTGTCTGTGCTGATATGTGGCTTCGGTCTGTCTGGTTTGTGACATCTTTGTTGCAGAAATCATGCTGGGCCAGCTCGAGGTCCAGTTGTTCAGAGAACTAGAAGCTTCCACTTTTGTTCTCTCAGAACTCTAAGATGACCATGCTGTGAGCAAGCCCATGGAGAGGCCTTGCAATGGAGAGTCAAAGCACCCTGGCCCAAAGCCCAGTCTAGTCCCAGCTGAAGGCAGTGGCATGAGTAACCTCTGGAGAGGAGAGAAGAAATGCCCGGTCAACCCTCAGAATCTTGGGAAATAATATACTTTTTGTTTTAAGACACTAGATTTGGGACACCTGGGTGACTCAGTCAGTTAGGGGTCTGCCTTTGGCTCAGGTCATGATCTCAGGGTCCTGGGATAGAGCCCTGCATCAGGCTCCCTGCTCAGCAGGGAGTCA